CGGGTTTTTAGTGTTGCATTAGCCTGGGAGTTTTTAACCTTGTTTCCCGTTTTACCCCCTTATTTTTTCACGCATGTTAACATCGACTTATTTCTACACATTTTCTTTACCCCCTTTCATCCCTAGGAATGTGATCGTTACGTCGGTCTACACACTCTTAAAATAAATCCGTAAATACGTCTCAACACCCCCTGTCGGGTCCCCCTTCCAAAAAAAAAAGAAAGAAATAGATCGACGCTTACGATTGTATGCCATCCATTAACTGGTATGGTTAATACATTGAATTCAAATTCGATTGAGAAAAATGAATATGTGAAGAGCTATGAACTTTAAAGAATATAGGTCAAAGAAAAACGCGAAAATAAATTTTGTGAAGAATATAAATGAGAATAGGAAGAATGAAGCAATGATAATCCACTTTTGTTGGTGTAGGCAACATGGGCACTCATGTGATCGAATAGTGGTGTCAACGCAATTATTATAAAAATATCCTTTTGCCGAACGCGGAGAGGTGACTATTACACATTTTTAGTTCGCCTACAATTTTCGGCGGAGGCAACACGAGCTTTCCTGTGTTTGAATAGTGGCATCATCATGAAATATCACGCTTACGCGAAACACACACAAAAACCGGACGAGAATCGGTGAGTTCAATGTCATGTCAGTTCGCCTTCCGTTTTTAGAGTTGGCAAAACGAGTTCTTATGTGGTCGATTAGTCGTATCATCCTGAAATGTTGCGCTTCCTCGAAATACACACAAAAATAGCTTTTTATTGGATGGGAAAAGGTGATATTAACACCACGCCAATTCGCCTTCAACTTCTAATGTAGGCAACATTGGCTCCCACGTGGTCGAATAGTGGTATGTCACTGAAAATTTCACGCTTCCTCAGAACACACGGAAACTATCCTTTCACTAATGTGAGTGGGTGATTTTTACACATCGGCAGTTCGCCTAAAATTTTCGGTTACAAATGGAAGATCTGACGCTTTGAAATGTGATAATCAAGAAACGTTGGTATCTCACAGGAAAAAAGTATGAAAATTTTCCGCCTAGATTTAAAGATCTAAATTTTCTATCCTCATCTTAAACATTTTATTATTGAAAACTTTACTCCTAAAGACTGATGTCCTTTTTGCCGTGGGTGGTTACGTGAGATATCTTACTAGTTCTCGGATTTTCCAAATTTGTCTTTCTTTTCTCATTTCGAACTAAAAATCAACTGAGCCGATTAGTATGATTTTTTTGTCATCATTTTGTAATAACCTTTCACTAAGCGTGCTCTTCTTAAACGTATTGAATACAACCCAGAAAGCGGTCCTTTAAGGATGACAATCGTCTTATGCAGTGGCAAAGCGTGAATGATCGATTTTGGATACATCCCCATTTGAAGTTATGGTAAAAAATCGATGATTAAGGTGTTCGTTGGGAACACCCTTTTCACCGACCGATTTCCATAGGTTTAAATGGGAAATCAATCGATATATCGCAAAGCACGCCACGACACTGGTCTTAAGGGTTTTTTTTTACCGCGAGGCAGGTAGCTTGCACCGCCTGGTAGCCTTTTAATCTGCAAGTGAAAATGGAGGTTGGAAAACAAAGTCGTAGCAAAATGACCAATTGAGAAAATTACATTCAAAATTGTTACGTGCTGATACGGCTTTCCTGAGAATAAAAAAACCAATATCTTACTCAAAAATTAAGATACGTAATGTCGTGCACTTGTGTGGGGTAACACGTGGAAATTTTCTCAATGCAGAAATTATCCCCCTCAAAATCAGCGAAACCGTGAAAATGGAAGATCCTCATGCAGATGTTTCGTTCTTGTCTACGTATTGCGGATATAAAAACAATAGTCTAGCAGGTTTTTGCAGATTTTTTAGCCAATTTTGACCAACAAATTAAACCTTGATATCCATACTCTACGTGCATAGCAGCTGAGTTGCATAAGATTCACCGCGGTAGAAATTTCAACGTATTTAAGGGCTTCAATAAAAAGCTTAACATTGAGGAGCCTCGATCTAAGACATGATGTTGGCGCCCATCCAGAAGTGTGCAAACAGAGCAGCTTTTGGGAGAGAGGGCGTTAATGTCATGGACTTATTTAGACCTCTGTCACGGGTAAATATCGAACCAAACATTCAATTGAAGTCAATTGATTTGAATCGTAGAGTCAAAATATATATTTTTAATTATTTGGACTCATTTTGATACAACAAATGTAATTGGGTTAAATTGCTTAAAAATATTCTTCGCCGCTGCGAATGGAAATAAATTCATACATGCATCGAATGCAATCGATACCTATTCAGGACTGTAGTATCTTTATGATATGGGTGAAACGTAAAGTATCATACTTATATGCCTCATCATGTCATAGCATTGATGTCTTTAGTTTCAGAAGTTCACAAGTCATTTATATCACCTGAGTTTCACGTGCCATTCAAGTCACTTATCCAATCCATATAAATCATGTCTATACTTCACCAAAAGCCAATTCAATCCCTTCGTTCCTACTAATTCCTCAAGTGTAAATGTGCCAAATTTTCTAAAATCCCGTTTGTTATCCATTGCACCATGCAATTTACTTTCAAATGAAACACAATGAATTTCAATTTAAATTTCAATGAATTTCAATTTAAATTTCAATGAATTTCAATTTAAATTTCAATGAATTTCAATTTAAATTTCAATGAATTTCAATTTCAATTTCAATGAATTTCTCCACCTTGTTTACTTTCAAATTGAAATGGTTTCCGCATGACTAAATTTTCCGCAGAAGTACGTAACGATGTAACGGTCCCTCGGCTCCTAGTCACCACCTAATGTTCATGTCATCTATCTTACATTTTTGCTTGTCACCTATATCATTCATGTTACCCATACATGTCTCTAATGTTAGCAATGCGCAGTTCACTGAGACCCAATTCCAACACCCCTTTCCCGAATTTACTCATTGCGAGAATGCACGTGACCAGATTCTCAGGAAAATATTGAGCACGGTGATTTGTCCCTGAGGTCACAGCTCGAAATAATTTTATCTATGTACTGCCCTGCTAAGGAAGAACGCTGTATGAACCTCCAGACGTTGCCAAGTTTCCTCTAATAAAAACCAACTTTACTAGGAAAATTGCGAATATTGTTTTCCAAAAGTTTTAGACAATTTTGTACGCAATTAAAACTAAAATATTTGAAAATTTCAAGGAAAAATATTCATGAATGTTGTCAAAAATGCGTGTTTTATCAAGGGAAATTTGGCAACTCCCGAATGTTCGTACGGCGTTCTTCCTTAGCACGGATCCATGATACTCATCCACATCTATCATGTTATCAATATGGGACCAAAACCTAATGCCAACCCCCCTATCCACACTTCCTTACTGAAATAATTCACACGAGTAAAGCTTTTCCGGGAAATGTTCGCTTCAATGTTTTGACTTCAGGTCACCTCACTCCTTCCATGTCACCCATATCTTCCCTTCTCTGGCGTAAGGGCGTATCTGGATTTCCACGTTAGCCCCGTTTTACGCATTAATGCATGCTTTCTGCGAGTCGATTGTTGAAATTGAGAGACAACGCAATAGACAAAGAAGGCACAGGGAGCATAAAGCGATCCTGTTGGTTAAAATTGGCGATTCCTTTAGACTAAGGGATTATAGGGTCTCTCGCGGGTTGCCGTTAGTTAGTCTATCACCTACATCCATTGTCCATTCCAACCGCACCCGTTTCCACCAATAGGGTTCCTCCATACCCCTTTTGTCTTCTTTGTCCATCAATGTCAATAATCGGCCTGCAGGGGCTCATGCGGAGATCGAGACACGCCCTTACGCCAGAAGAGCAACGATATCACCCATTAATATTACTCATTCATATTACTCAATTTCATTTCACGTGTACCAAATAATGTCAACGTTTTCCTCCATTCCGAAACTAAAGGAATGCATTTGGTTTAATGCTCCAGGAAGTGTAAGTTCCGGTTTTCCTTGGTCCCAAGTCACAGGTAAAGGTCGTATGCATAGTCCTCCATTAAACGGCTCCTTTTCATAGAAGGCCCTAGCTAGTTTAAATTGTGATAAAGGAAGGTTGAAGGAGCTTTTTAAATCATGCAGCATCATGGAAAGGGTCATTTTTGCCATCCTCGAGTAGCATTCAGCAGTATAAGTTTGAAACTGGTTCGTCAAAAGGGATAACAATAATTTACCACTACAAAAAATACCAAATGCGCAAGAAAAATATATTGCGAGCTTTGCGAAGTTTAAGGTTGGTACAAACCTACCTTGAGGTTTGTCGAAATCATAGAATTTTCTCTTTTGTATTTTGTTTCTTTTGTAGTGTCAAATCATCCCTTGCAAGGATCCATTTCCAAAGTTATACAGAATCTTACTCAAGGATGGCAAAAATTATCCTCGCTCTTGCTCTATTTTGCGAGCCTCCTTAAACCTCCCTTCATCCTGGTCTAAACCAAATGGGGCCTCCTATAAGAATAGGAGCTGTTTGAGGAACGACTATGATTACGATTCTCATTCTCAAGCCGTGTTTGTCATTTACATCGAATCGTCGCACATTGGATCGAGTCAATAGGAGAGGTCGGACAAAATTCGGAAACTTCAAACGCTTATAACTCCGTTTAAACAAAAGTCAAAAATTGTGTGCCCGATCTCTCTGATTGACTCAATCCACTGTGCGTCGTTTCCTGGACGAAGGAATGTAACTCCATTCCAATGTTGCAAAATTGACTCGACCAAGTCAATCTTATGCAAGAATGTATCTGCGCAATTTTTATTCAAAATTTGTCTGATTTTTGCATGTAATCAGAAGAAAAACCAGTGAAATTTTCAGTTAGAAATGTCTTAGATTTTTCGAGTGGAAACGAATATTTTGAGGGGTAAATTGACAACATCGAAATGTGGTTACGTTCTTTTACAGGAGGAACGACGATATGTCACCAAATCCACTTCACTCATGTCATTGCCATCCAATAACCAAGGAGTTGACCTACCTTCATGATGCGCGTCTCCAGAGGAACGCCGAGCACGGATGCACGTGACACGGACTCATACACGTGGTGGAGCACAACACGGCGGACACGGCGAAAACACGGGAAGACGGAAACGCGTGAAAGACACGAGGCTAATAAACTAATGTGACCAATGGTCCAGGTGATAGCTTTATACGGAGGTGCGCGGAGAGGTCCTGGACGCTGCGAGACCCCGTCATGAAACTGTATCAGTCTCCAGCGAGAGCTGGGCCCTCGCCCCCCTCGCCACCCGGGTGGGGGACGGGGCCCACTCCAGGCACCAGGCTAACTTTTGAACTTCCACCATGGTTGCCACTTCATTTTTTTTTTCGGAAAATGTGATTTTCCCTGCTGAGGAGGAATGCCGTATGAGCTTTCAGACGTTGCCAAATTTCCTTCGATGAAATACAAATTTTCCGGGTAAATGTCAATATTTTCCCTGCAATGTTTCAGAAAATTTTATTCGTAACTTAAGACTCTCGTTAACTCTTTCGTAATTTTATTCGACTTTGAAGTATTTGAAAATGTCAAGGAAAAATTTTTATAATTGTCCACAAAAGTAAGGATTTTATTGGATTAATTTTGGCGACTGTTTATATGTGGTGTTTTTCCTTAGCACGACAGTATTTTTGACCGGATTTGTAAGATGAGGGTCTCATCTGGAGGCGTTCACAGTTAAAAATTTCCTTGTTTACGGCTACTTTTTTTTTTTTTTTTTTTTTTTTTTTTTTTTTTTTTTAAGGTGGTGGGGGGAGTTAGATCGACCAAATTTTGGTTAAATCAAACAAAACCGTAGGTGCGCGAAGACATTTGGGGCTGAAAAAGTGTTCTGTTGAACTTCTGTACTCTAGTTTCTGTCGCCACGACTCAGGAGCTGCGACTTGCGAACTTTTGAATTTTCACCATCGCTGCCACTTGACATTTTTTTAGGGGAGGGGGGTGTTGGAAAGTGTATTTATCACCGGATCTGTAGAAAAGGTGCATTATCTAAGATTGTGTGCAAAGTTAAAAACTGTCGTGTCTGCGCGGTTACATTGGGTTTCATTGTTACTTACTTTCGGTTAGATTAGCCAAGTACTTGGTTGATCAAAATTTTTCGATTTAACCAAATTTTTGATCAAATCGACTAAATCTTTAAGTTATTCTGAGACATCTAAGGCTAATGAGTGTTCTGCTGAAACACTGTGCCCTTTTTATTCCCACTTTGACTTGAAGATTGCTCCTTGCGTGTGGCTGGCGCATTGGAATATCACCAATGCGAGTTATTATATCAGTTATTCTGTCACATGGCAACGCTGTCCGAGTTTTGTGAGCTAAAACTCCTTCAATTTCGTTTGATACATAAAGAGTTACTCAATTGGCGCTTGTGGCGTGCTGGCTTGCTGGTGGCTGGTCAGCTATTATTTTTAAAGGGGGGCAATTAAAATGGTGGTTTGCAAGCTTGTCATACAGTTACGTTCAACTCATTAGTTAATCTCTGCAAATCCGACGATGAAGGCATTTTTACATGAATGAAAACTGATCAAGGCGGGTGCTACAAGCTACAATATTGTTGTACAGGGTGATTAAAAAATCTTGCACTGCCAGAACCAGGCACCACCTCTATATTCTGTAACTTTTGAAAACGTTGGGATAAAATTTTGTGAATGTTCCTAGGTCAAAGGAAGCGGCTTTCGGCACTCCCAGCATTTTTTAGGAAGACCTCCCCGAAAAATAACAAGAACCCGAAGTTTTATTAAGGTTGTTCGAGACTTTTGAAGCACCCTGTAAAGATACAGCCACAATTTTACCAACTCGGACTTATCTTGGTTGGATGACTGTTTCAAACCCCTCATGAAAATTACTGCAACAATCAACTTTATTCCTGGCACAAGTGCACTCGCAAAATTAGTGGTAGCGCGAGTGAGAAATGTTCCCGCAAATTAAACTTGCACATTTTTTCGTGCTCCTAACCGAAATAGGCATTTCTGCAGTTTTACTATCGAATAGCTTATAGCAAAAGGGTCGTAACCAACATTTTTGGAGAAATCAAAGAATTCATAACGTCAACATGTTTAGGAGAGGCTATAAGCAATAATTTCGTGAAAAAAGTCGGTATCGATACCTAACGCAGCGCAGATACGAAATGTGTGACTTCAAAAACTGCGAATTACATTAGATGAAAAGGGGCCGCTGTTCGGCTATGGCAGTTCTCTTATGATACCTTGAGTCAGAAAAAAATGCAGTTACGCTCCTTCTGTCCTAAACCACTGATATTTTCTTCTTGTTCCTTGCAAGTAATTAGCAATTGACGCGGTTCCGCCTGCTCACTCAAAAGGCCAGCGTAACGAGGAAGAAGACGCTATACGCGTGCTATTAGGATATCATTAACGGGTGGCAAAGTTTATCTCCCTGCGTATATTGGTCATGCGGTGGAACTTTTCTTTCGCAGGTTTTTTATCTCAAATGTTAATGGGATCGAGAGATTTTCGCGTGCACTCTGGTCTTATTTTTATTTTTTTGGGTTATTGAGAGTTAAATATGATATTGACCCTTACTTGATTTTCCTCGAGATTTTTGCAATAAAACTACATGGGCTCATTTTAAGCGCGCTACAGTATGACACAAAAGTAACATTGTAAGGTGTACAGTAGGTAACAAAATCAAACTAGTTACTTATCTCATTAAATAATGAATCTATTCGCCCTGTTTGATAAGAGTAACTCCTTGATTTACCATTGGATTTTTTTTTTCATTTGAATGGAAAGATTCGTCGATTTCTGCACTAAAAATAGTATTTACATCTGAACATTGTAAAATTTTCACTCGCAAATTATTATATTTTTACTACAAAGCTTTTCAACGTTTCTAGCTGAGAATTTAACTAATTTTACTCTGATTACACTACAAAATTAGGGCAATTTTAGACCAAAATTGTACATTGATGTAAGACTTCAATAGTTTTAGTCGATTTTGTATCTCTGGAGTACGTCGAGTTACATTTCTTCGTCTAAGAAACAACGGATTGAGAATCTAGCCGGAATAAGGGAAATTCGAATGTGTAACGAATACTTCCTTGGTATATTTGAATTGAACCGAAAATATTTTGGAAGGTAACAAATTTCACCATTTTCTTCAACGAAATGTTACCCACGTAACTTTGTGTTCAAGAGACGGAAAAAGTGCAATGAAAAGAAGCATCTTTGAGGAAAATCATTTATTGAAAAAAAGATTATATAAACTTTTGGTGCTCAGAGGCAATTCTTGAAAGTTGACAACATTTTTTTATTCAATTGAGGCAGAATTCCTCAATAAGAATCTAGGTTTTAATGACTTTAAATGTAAAAACAGTGTTGTCCAGTTTTGTCCTGGCTCGAAAATTCTTGGATTGCTGCAGTTGCGATTTTACAAGTTGCCAACACTGTTTTTCCTCTATTTAATCCATTGAAAATATCGATTTCAGGTGATGCAAGCTGTATCACCAAGAATCGATTGTTTTACATACATTTAAATGGAGGAAAAACAGTGTTGCCAACTTTCAAGAATCGCCACTAGGGTGCTGATACGTCTTCGAGGCCCCTCCTCTCGGGTGGGCCCCCCGCTCTATTTAACCTACAGTCCTCCTTCAAGGGGGCTTTGCAACATTTTGAGGGCCCCTCCAGGAGTCCTGCAGGGGCCTCTTGAGTCACTCGTAAGGATTTCTGGAGTGCTGAAGCACCCTGGTACCCCCAGCAGACCGGCCTTGGTATTGTCTATACATCGAAAAAGAGTGAAGTTGATTTAACATTCTTGATGTAAGAAAAGTGCGCGAGAACTTATAAAACGCTAAACTACCTGCTACAGTAGTTAATTTAGCAATGCTAAGATGTAAAACTAACTGCCGTGGTGGGTAATTCTGCATGTTTTAAGTTCTCGCACACTTTTTTTACATCCAGAATGTTGACTCAACTTCACTTTTTTTTCGGTGGCACTTTTCCGAATCGCCTCTGCTGATGTTAACTCAGAATTTCCTCTTGAATGGATTCGCAACGAATCCATCGGTTCTCCTCAGTTACTCCTGAGGCGAGCTTAAAGATTGGCCAGGGCGGCGATCTTCTTGAGGCGAGCCGGACAGTCGTCACCGCCGACCGCCCAGGATGATGTTGCAGCGTAGTTGGAAAGGCTCGGTTGGAGGACATCGTTGTAGTTGACCGCGCCGGTGTAGGTGGACTTCTTGATCAAGTTCTTCTTGAAGCAGTACGGCTGCTCGTAGATGTCGGCGCATCGGTACTTGCCGGCCCAGTAGCAGGCGTTACCCACGATCCGGATGCAGTAGTTGTAGACGCCCAGGGTCACGTCGATCTTGGCCGCCAGGAGGTTGATCTTCTTCCTCACCTCCGAGTACTGGGGGCTGAAGTGGTACTTGTCGTTGAGCAGGGAGTATCCCAGGATCTTGAGCTTCACGTTGGTCGCCAGGGACCAGCTGTCCGTTGAGGGCATGCAGAATTCTCCGTGGAACTCGACCTTGCCCTGAAATCGAACGAAGTCAACAATTTGGATTATTATCATTTAGATTGCATTTTGCAAAACGGAACCAGAAGCATTGCAACGATGCTAAGATTGTGCAACTTCACCTTTTGCAATAAAATTGCGGAAATCATGAAAAACTATGAAATTTAGATGGTAATTGTTGTCTTAAATTTACAGTTTTTAGCGAGTAAAATAGAAAGTATGGATGGATAATCGGGTTTTCCTCCAAAACTAAAGAAGTTGCACAATCTTAGCAACATTGCAATGCTAGTGGTTCCTTTTTGCAAAATGCATTCCAATTTGTATTATTATCATTTGGATTGCGTTTTGCAAAAAGGGACCAGAAGCATTGCAATGATGCTAAGATTTTGCAACTTCATCCTCTGCGATGAAATTACTGAAATCATGAAAAAATATGAAATTTACATGGTAATTTGTGTCGTAAATTTACAGTTTTCAGAGAGTAAAATGGAAACTGTTAATGTAAAATCGGGTTTTTCTTTCAAGACAAATAAGTTGCACAATCTTAACAACATTGCAATGCTCCTGGTTCCTTTTTGCAAAGTGCAATCCATTGTATTTATTTTTACGTCTGATCCGGCAGAATAATTGGGTATCCCAATTTTCCGGGCAGATTAATGTTGTTTTTTATTTTATGTTTTACATTTTGAATGAATTTATCTAATCTGAAAATGTGTCAAGGGAGCGTAACTCCATTCCAAGGTTGCAAAATTGACTCATGAAAATCAAATTTTCTACAAGAATGTACCTACATGTGCAATTTTGTCCAAACACGTTTGTGATTTTTGCATGAGACCAGAGGAAAAATCGGTGAAATTTCCAGTTAGAAATCACCAAAATGCTCCTTGTGGAAATGCAACGTGCAAGGACAAATGCGGCAACATTGAAATGATGAGCTTGGAGGACTAGGCGCATAAGTGCAGTTTTTTAAAAAATTGAGATAGTAATGATTTCAAGTAGAGCTAGTCTTAATGCATATTTTGTGAACAATTCGCTCTAAAATTTCAATTTTTAAGCATCATAAAGTCTGTTTGAACTTCCTTTTCGCCAAAAGGATCCATGTAGTTTCGAAACTTCAAACACGTATTTCTCGAAATAGTAGGAACTGACTTTCCGATAAAGTTACGTTATTACGTCAGAGTAACGAAGAGTTCATCCAAATTTTGTAGATTTGATATTTTCTCGTAATGTTGCTTAACAGAACTTTTTTTTACCTGGCAAATTGCGATCTAAGTATTTATTCTCATGTAAAATTTTGCGAAAAACACGATGGTGCCACTGGCTTTCTCTGAATATAGCTCTCAAAGTTGATGCCGTGATGGAGGAGATATGCCACGCTACCCTGAGAGTCCAAACTCCCCATGCACAGATAAGAAGCAGATACATTAGCAGGGTTGCCGTGTTTTCAGTTTTCGAGTGCCCATAAAAGTGGCAACCCTGTTAATGTATTTGCATGGAGAGTTTGACTGGATATAGAGGTGGACTCTCAGGGTAGCGTGGGATATCCCCTCCATTTCGTCCTCAACATTGAGAGCTTTTCTTGAGTTTTGGAGTTTGTTTTAGAGAAAACCATAGTAGCATCATCGTGCTTTTCGCAAAATTTCACATGTGAATGAATTAATAAATCGTAAATCCCTGACACATGCAAGAGCTTCATTCCCACTTGAAGGGAATGGACCACTAAACGAGGTGAGAACAGTGGCGATTCTAGAGAGTTGGCAAAACTGTTTTTCCTCAATTCAAATGTGTGTAAAACAATCGACTCTTGGTGAGGCAGCTTGCCTCACCTAAAATTGAGATTCTTAATGGATTTAAACGCAGGTAAAACGGTGTTGCCAACGTGCAAAATCGCCACTGGGTGAGAAATGGAACACCATGACACGTGTATCCTCATCAAAATGTTACGTATAGCACGGTGGAAAGATGTAAGCAATTATTACAAATTCAACTGAAACTCAATTGAAAGATCAGGGTTTTTTTGTATTCAGCAACTCAAATTCCCCACTCGTGAAAAATACCGTAGTGTGCTCGTACCAAGTTCGCCACTGAACTGATTTCTGCGTTTTTTAAAATACATTTTTTTCACAGGTACTGAATTCTTCGCAATAACTTCACAAAAACGGTAGAGGGAAATGTGCGCTGTCAATAATTACCATAACTTTCCACCTCTCAATGTTTCATTTTTTTTAAAATTCGGTTTCAGTTTATTTTCAAATTCATTTTTTTCCTCTTAGGTTGAAATTCAAAAAACCTCTTCTAGTTCATTTACCCCGTTTATCTCTCTTTCAAACTAATAATGATGATAACTTGATCGACAAGATAAAGGACATCCGGGCTCAGTCGTCCAATAGGGATTTTCCAGTTCATAGGCGTAACTTCCAACTCAAAGAGCCTTTAAAAGCCTCTGCTCCCCAAAAATCGGGGTCTTTTAACAACTCGTTAAGCCACGAGCTTCAAGTCGCATATATCGCTCGGTAGTCGCCCAACAGCATAGACTCCCCGTGTTACGTTTATGGCCCCTCAGCGGTTTTGAATTCTCCCCGATTTTCTATCAATTTTATGTTTTCTATGTTGTGATAAATGTGTGCATCTTTAATTTTAATGCAATGTGATCAAACACTAGAACTCAAGAAATTCTCTCTTTTTAATCCTGTTCTCCCATAAACCGTTTGGTTATATATTTCGCGCTATTAACTACTGATATATGCCAAATCCAAAATTATTTTTTAATCGGATGATAAATTTGATTCCAATGGTTGAACAAATATTTCTTATTTACAAGTTGAATTTGGATTTTTTCAAGGATTTTACATTTTTTGAACGCGTAGACTTTTCACGGTGAAAAATAATCAGAGATCAACTGGTGTGGTGGTCCACTCACTTACCTGAACTTCCGAGATGGCCCAGTTGAAGTCTAAATTCTTGCAGTTGGAACTGGTTGGGGTCACCATGAAGTGACTGATGGTCGTGGCGTTGTCAATCATGTCAACGCTGTCGTAAGGATCGGATTCTATGGCGTTCAAACTGTCCAGAGCAGCGATGCTAGGTTCGACTCCATTGGTTGTGGTGCTAGTAGCCGGGGTTGTAGTATTTGCGTTAGCACCCACAAGGGCAGTGGCCACAATGAGCAAGAACAGCATTTTCAGCTGAATTGTAGCCTAGGTCAAAAGTGAAGAGGTCGACATTTTAGAGCTACATCTGAGAGAAAATACATAGGTAGGAGTGACCTTGATGGGCGGAGAAAATGTTTCAGAATAGTCGATATCGTCAGTTTAGTTTCAAAATGAGAGTATGGATATTTGGAAGGACATAGGAAAAAAAGTTATTTTTGATTCATTGAAGGTTCAAAAATACATTACAAATGCATTTACAATACATTACAAATACAGTAAGTTCAGTTTAAAAATGAGAATTTGAATATTTGAAAGGGCATAGGAAAAAAAGTTATTTTTGATTCATTGAAGATTCAAAAATACATTCAGTTCAAAAAAGTTCAGTTTAAAAATGAGAATATGGATATTTGAAAGTACATTGAAAAAAAAGGTTATTTTTGATCCATTAAAGGTTGAAAATGTTTCAGAATAGTCGAAATCGTCAGATTAGTTTAAACATGAGAGTGGAGATACTTGGAAGGACATAGGAAAAAAAGCTATTTTTGATTCATGGAAGGTTCAAAAATACATTACATATGTATGTACAATACCTACATCACAAATACAATAAGTTCAGTTTAAAAATGAGAATTTGAATATGTGAAAGGAAAATTGTGGGAAAATTCGTTGCTTTTGATCCATTAAAGTGCAAATACAACTTTTTCATTTGCCTGGGATAAGTATTTGTAAGTTGCATTTCTCAAAAACTTTTTTATTTTTCCTGACACAGTTGATACATTTTTTCAGGTTTTTATAGTCTTCGATTTTGTGATTTCCTTTGTCCATATTTTAAACAGAAGGGATCTTTGTTGATATTGGGGCTTAGAATTAATTGAGTGGATTTATTTTGGTCTACGTCTTGTTTTTGTTTTTTTCAGGTAGGACTTAAAAAAAAATATCTATCGATTGGCAAAAGTTTATTTCACTATTATGAGAGTTTTTTAACTTTGAATCCGCAAAAAACTCGTTAAAACACAACAAAAGCCACGGAGCAAAACCGATAAGTCGTTCCTTCTACAGCTTCCAGTGTATTGCCTCCCGCTTCAAAAAGTTTTTGTTGTTAATTCGATTAAATTTTTGGTTTTCTTCCTTGCTCCCCTTTTTGACCCTGGAAGAATTCTCCTGGAAATTGACTGTGCCTTGAAATAAAGTCTTGTAAAGTTCACCTAGTATTTGTACATCGTAGAACTCGATTTTGCCTCGAATTGGATTTTTTTTTATTGGTTAAAAATGTACAACTAGCCCCTTACGGGGCTATTAATTACAATAATTTTAACTTGTAAGTATAGCTAAAAATTAACTTAGGTTAAATTTTTGTATTTTTAAAAATAAAACATTCATACCAAGTCTGACTATTCTTTTGCCCTACTTTATCTTACTTTACATTCATACAGATACATTCATACAAGATTACGTTGTTATGGTATGTAAAATAAAGTAACAAAAAGAGGTGAGAATATATAAAAAAAGATACAAAAATTACGATCGAATTGGAATGAAGTATGCTTAAGTTCATCCAGTATTTGTACCTTGGAACTCGACGGTGCCTCGAAATGAAATAAAGTCCTCTAAAGTTTATCCATAATTTGTACTTATATGTTTGATCTTTTCTTGTAATGTTTCAAACAATTATTGTCAAGATACTATTCAAAATTAAAACTGTTTTATCACTTCTACTTGGATTGGATTCTATCCCTCCCTCTTCACAGTATAACATTTACTCTTATTTTAATTTAAAAATAGCATTGGGTTAGCTTCAATGTACATTTTAACATCCCTCAATTACAATCACACGAAACGGTTGCACACTGCAGCAATAAATTATGAAACTAGTCCTACAAACTTGCGCCTACATTAAAAGTTGCACGGTTTGACTGTGAGACTATTTTTATGACAACGTTATAACCATAAACACGTTGGATATCAATGCTGCGATCTTTATACATGAAACATAAAAAATAAATATTTATTGATGTGTACTTTAAATTTAGAGATTAACCAATATGCCTTAATTCAGATTTCCTTTTCATAATAACTGTGCAGAAAATGCAAATAAACTATAATTTTTTTTTTTTTTTTTTTTTAGCAAAATAGGGGGTACTGTAGGCCCCCTGTTTGCCTCGCGGTCAAACACTCCGAAGCGCTTCGCGCCTTAAGCGTTAAGCGTTATGCGTTATGCGTTATGTGTTACTCATCTGATTTTATAGCATAGAGGATAATTTGTCTTAAATTGAGAACGTTCAGTATGACGGTTATGAGGTATAATGGAGAGATAGTGGGAGGGATTAATGTTAATTTTTTTGTGTTTGAAAAAAGGAAAAATTGACACATTGCATTTCTCCTGCGAAAGAAAAAAATAAAAGAAATATACTCGCTAAGCTAGGAATGAAACAAGGCTCTCCTCTCTATTCAATTGTGGATGATCAAAACATATTGATAATTAAATACAAAATTCCTAAAATGCGAATGGAAATAATCAGTGAATTACTTTACTTCATTGACACCTGAGAAGAATTAACATAAATACAAAAGTGCCAGGTCATAAGGATTCTTCTCAAAACTCTGAAATCTTCTTCAAGGAATGTTTTTAACTTCGAGCATAACGGCATGGATAGAACAAAGTCTGATTGATTTAAGGTGAGAGAGATAGCTTGAACTGATGTACAAGAACGATAATGTTTAATTTTTTAGGGTACATTATAGTATAATTTTAAAATTCATTCAAATTTCAACTTCACATTTTAGCTTTGAAACACGAGCAAATTACATTACAGATAGCCTTTTAATGAGAAATAAGACATATAGACACGATAAGACACGATAATGAAATTAAGGCTACAAAACAAGGAAAATGCACCTAAGTAAAGTAAAAATCGCTTAAAATTTTAAAAAACTCGAATTTTCCTCATTTAATTAATTAAGGAAAGTTTGGGGTTTTTTTTCATTTTTTGCAACAGTAGTCAGAAATGTTCGGCGTTCTTTGCAATTCAAGTGTTCAAAAACGCAATTTTTTCATAACTCGAAGTCGTTTGAAGTATACGTGAAAAATAAAAGACTTACCGCTTAAAAATGACTAGAATGTAGGAACTGTCGGGTTCAGTAAACGGCAGCGCAGTTCAGCTGCTGTGAATCAATCGGGAAAATACTATATGATTTGCCAACAGAATGTAAGGCAAGTGGTTCCTACACCTCTTTTCGGTGCTTTTTATGCTGCACATTTATCTTTTTGGGTCATGCAATATCCGCAAGGGCAAGACCGAAAATTGGCCGAGAAAGAATTGGTTAATTACTACTTTTGCATCTGTTAATTTCGGCGGCACGATAAACTCTTGACTTCCGAATATTTTTGTCATTGCTTTGGTAGGCGTCAAATCGCAATTTTATAATTAGAAATCGATTTAGTTCCTTGAATATGGACCAGGCTATCATCGAGAGCCATGGCAGATAAATAAAATGAGCCTCCAGTTACCACTTTGTAAACAGCTCGTCGGTCATTTTTTGTGCAGATTTTATGCGGGTCATTTATTTAGGATGCGCTGTGCACGGATGGAAGTCATAATGGATACCGCGATCAGTGGCGAGGCGTGAGTGATCGATTAACGATATTTCCCCATTTGAAGCTGCGGTAAAGAATCGATTATTATGGTGTTTATTGCGATCACCCTGTTTATCGACCCTTCTCCATAGGTTTAAATGGCAGATCGATCGATTTATCGCAAAGCACGCCACGCCACCGATCACCGTAATCTTATCGGAAAAGACACGGAGCAAAAATGTAAGATTCGTTGCCTTGTTAAAAAGGGAGAGACCGTTTCAATGACCCACTGCGTTTTACCTGCGAGGTCATTTGACTCGGTTTTACTTCAGTGTGCACACGGATGGAATTATTTTACCTTGAAAGAAATTTTTACATTTTTCTCCTTTGAAATTGACCAGTTTCTTTTTTCCCTCCAAGATGCTTTATTTCATAGTACCCAATTTCAGATTTCGAAAAAAACGCATTTCAAAATTTGATCAGATACTACACGGAAAAAAGAATGTCAGTGGATTTTAATTTGATTTTCAACTAGACCTGCAGAAAATTCAGGTGCCATTACTAATAAATCTCGGACAGTGTCACACGGCACATACATGTATATCCAAGTGCAGTTGTTCAACACGGACAGACATCTAAGTGCTGATTGTGAAAAAGACTGCAGTAATTGATTTACCCCTGCAGGCTGATTGCTGATCGTTCGATTTCCTCGGGATCACATATGTAGATTCCAGAATCTAGTAATCACTTAAATTCTTTTTTATGCGCATTTCATGAATTTTGTCTGGGAATATTCTTAAATGAGTGAAAAATGCACAGCAAATTTAATTGGGATTTGACCATATTTCGCGATCAAGAACTAATATTTCAGGCTCATCTTAGGAACGACATATGTGTTACTAGTTTCCGAATGCAGATAGGAACTTCTGTAGATGAACCAGAAACAGTGGTTCCTCATTGCAAAACGCCGTCCAACTGCCAAATAGATTTTGTTTCAAAAATAAAAATTAGTGAAGGTTTTCTAAGACTTTACCAAATGTACTCAAGTTCCGATTTCAGCCACATCCCCAAGACGTAGTGATCGCGAAAAATTGCGATTTGATTGGAGAATGTATCGTGATTTTATCGACGTTGATTTATTGCAATATTATCGAGAAAAAAATCGCGATAAATTGAGCCAAAATTTTGATTTATCGAACGCGATATTATAGAGATAAAATTGCGACAAAATCGAGGATATATCGCTCTGACGTTGATGATCCTGGCGATTTTGCGCCAGAAAATTGTGACTTAATTTCAAAATATCGCAATTTCACCGTTGAAAAATGCTACCTCGGTATTTTGAATGGTCGAATATTGCTGAATGTCCTCTGATAAAATACAAAATGGGAAATTTGTTCATCTTCTTTTCCAAATTCTGCAAGGAATTTTGATTTGTGTATTTAAAAATTTCAATAATTGCATGAACATGCAAATATAAACATGCGTAATTTTCCCCAAAAATACATATTTTACAAAAAAAAAAAAAATTAAGTTACAATGAAATGTTCGCATAAAGCGTTCTTCCTTAGCACGAGCTGGCTCCCGCGTCGATCTTGACACCATTCGAGACAGAATTAGGCCGCTCTCAAGTCGAAGTTTCGACCCCTGTCAAACCGCCTATCTGCAATGGAGCTCCATAGTAGTTAAGTGGTTACGCTCTGAAAAGGAGCACGCTTGCTGACACAATAAGATTTTGAAAACGGTGAGCTAAACGGCGTGGCGCGAGTACTCCTGGAGTGGTTGAGAGTCTTCATTGATCGAATAACAAAGGCATTTCAATGCTGAGACTTCTTGTTACCTCAGATCCATAACCGCACTTATGTGATTACCCTGGATCAAGAGACTTCGGGCTGGAAATAATCGGCCGGCATCGATAAATCGTGTCATTACTGTGAGAGTTAGCGCAAAACCCGACTCCCTACGCTGCCGTGCGAAGTAAAAAAGCCGCATGAACCTTCAGGCGTTGCCAAATTTCTTTTAATAAATCGCGAAATTTATGGCAAATTCGAAAATATTTTCAATTTTTCAGATAATTTTGTTAGCAATTTCACCTAAAATCCTCGAACTGTTCAAGGAAATATATTCAAAGCTTTCCTCAAAAATGACCATTTCATCGACGGAAATTTAGCAACTCTCGCATGTGCATGCGAAATTTGTAAATATTTGTCCTCCAGATTTTCAGACAATTTTGTTCGCACCCACATTTCCTGAAATTTGAAGGAAAAATATTCATAGTTCTCCTCAAAATTTAAGATTTTACCGGAGGAAATTTGGCAACTCTCGAATGTTCATACGGCGCTTTTCCTTTGCACGGCAGTATGGATAGCAATATGGCAGTATAGACGGCAGTATATTCGGCAACGGCCTGTGGCCTCTTTTGAATAAAGATTCTCCTATACTTTTCCAAAAAGAGGGTGAGAGATACAAATAAGTGGAGGAGGGTACCTATGGATTCAATCGATGCGAATCGATCGAAAAATAAAAACTTTAATCGATTGACACTGATTCGATCGAAAATTAATTCAAGAACCTGTGTCAATTCGATCTAAGAACAAAAACGCTAACCGATCGACAGCGACTGCAAGGACATTGGTTCGATCGACAACCGTGAATCGATGGACTTACCTGTAAATCGATCCAATTAGTGGCAGTTGAGTCGCTAATGGTCAGCTCGCGCTTTTTCTTTTCGATCAAAATAATCATGTTGTCATTAGTCATGTGTTTATGCTTTTGTGGGCACTTTTTTCAGTCTTTACCAGAAAAAATACGGAAAAAACCTTTTCTCAAGCAGGTAAATAATATCGCTAACTAGCTTCAACCTTTTACACGTGTGATTCCAGTCGATTGAGAGAATTTGTTTTACTAGGGGGCTATGCCCCCTAGCCGCTACGCGGCCCAACCCCCAGAGGGCTCTTCGCGTTCTCTTCGGCCCGCGTCGACAAATGAACGACCAAAAGAAATTAAAAGATAACCATAACCGACTCTCATTTATCCAATATTTCTCTGGCCGGGAGCAACTGGACCAATAAGAGCTGAATCAAAAAATCGGCATTTATTTCAAACTTCACGCCAAGACTGAAACGAAACGGAACGGAGCGTTTCGTCGCTTTTGGATAATGTGTAGCAAAGCAGCATACCTTCGATTCACTTACCCTATACTAACAGACCAAGATTCAAAATTTTCCACTTACTTCAATTTTCCGCTAAATTTGAAATTCCCGCCATTGTTCATTGGCGGGAATTTCAAGTTTTGCCCCCCCTTTCTAAGCTTTCTGGTCTACTCCTATTTTACATGGCAGAAATCAACCTTGAGAATGATTGGCAACAATCCGTGAGATTTTTCGTATATTTAGGTATGCTTATCTATATTTTTCATTTAAGTTTTTACAAGTAAATTTGCATCGGAAATTCCGACATTAATCTAGAACCTTAAATTACTAGTTTGAGGTCTATTGGTAGATGAAGATGGCACCTTTTATGTTTTCATTGCATTTTAGGATACTCAATGATTGGGAAAGAGGGGGAAAATCTTCAAATCAGCAAGGTCGTAGAGTCTAATTTCAACTAATGATTTTCATTTTTTTTTCGATATAATTCAGTTTATTTAGTAATGTAAAAAATTGTACACCACCACTTTGTCACTCGCTATGACATTTGTGTATCTTTCCGAAAAAAAAACCTTTACTGTAAGTCGAATGAACTACTGTATAGTTTTGGTATTTTGTAATGAACTTCTAAAACCTGCCTAAAAGTAAAAAAAAAAAAAAAACAAGACAATGGCGAGAACAACTTTTCTTCTTTTTCCAAATAATTTCAGTAGGTGTGTTTTTTTTTAACGGCGTGAAAAAATCATATTAATAAAAAGTTAGCGCACCACAGGAGAAAATAAGAAATTATATCTAATAAATCGCAAGATCTCTTGGTGTTTGCTGTGAAATGGATTTTAAGGCATTATACTGAAAAAAAAACTCAACTTCAACTATAGGTCACACATTTTTTGAAGTCTGTCAACAGAGAGTCGTGGAGACTCAAAACTCCTTCCAATCGACGTGTATGTGATTCTACTTACGTTCATGTGCTGCTTCCATCAACTCAGACTCAGACGTTGATAGATTGTAGGCGAAACTAGCTAGGATAGAGCCGATGTAATATATGCTAGATTGTGCTTGAGTGTTTCAATCGCGTGGGGTGTAATATGTTAAGTTGTGTATGATACTTTTGTGTTTGTGTGCCTGTTGAAAAACACACTTCTTGCAGTTGTGTTGTATTACAAATCTAATTTCAATCCACCTTCTTGAGTGCATATCCGAATTTCAATGAAGTTCCCTATAATCTTTCTCCCCTTTCCAATTTTTTCAGTAATTACAGTACAAACTTCTTTTTGACTCCCCTAAAATTGTCTCGGGACGCCCTCCATAGGGTAGTTTTCCTTCAATTTTAGATAGTAAACATTTATGTACCAATAAATTGCACCTTCTAAAGCCATTAAAATGTCCAAATAATCATGAAAATTGAGATTTTTTCTTCAAAATCATACCGTCTTGTAAGTAGAGAATCGGCGGAAACTTATAGAATCAAATAGATCCACGTGTAGTTCTTTTTGCTTTAATGCATCGAAGACAATGTTGAGCTAAGTTAAAAGGAACTTTGTGCTGAAAGACGGTGATATCTCAGCGCCTATTCAATTAAATGCAGTGAAACGTAGCTTCTAAAAGTATTTTTTTATAGGAACTCAAAATTTTGGTTATATTTTCAAAAATTAATAATCCACGATGGTAGATGTGGCCTAAAACGTTATCTCGGCGCTTTTTTAAATGAATACCTAGTCGATTCTTGGTGAGGTAAGCTTACTCCACTAGAATCGATTGTTTTTACTTATTTAAATGGAAGAAAAACAGTGTTGCCAAAGACTAAATTCCATGACGCCGTTAGGAAGTTCACCCTTCAAATCACTTCAAACAGATGGACAAGAAGCTTCATTGCCGATGAACAAGAAACGTTTAGAATGACAATAGGAGGAGTGCAGTGGATGTGTGAATGAATTGCGACCGAAACCGCAGTGTGATGCGTAAATTTTTACGAGCGTACAGAAATGTTGCCGTAACTCACTTTAAATTCCCTATTTTTATATTTTAAAATCTATGAGGAATGATCTTCAGTAAAAAGTCACTCACGATGTTTAGTGCATTGAGAGAATTGATAAACTAAAAGCCTCTGATGCTCGAATTACATATAAGGACATTTTAAGGGGAAGTCGGCTTTATAAATGGACGTACTTCTGCCAAACGGAACTATGTGCGTTTAGACGTGAGCCCTGTTATGCATATTGTCACGTCAAGAGGATTTCTCATGTTTTAGTCTGACTGAGAAATCTAAATAAATCTTTGACGCGGCGAGTTCGTGGGAGAGCGGAACAAAATACGAAGAGATGTTTTAGCGGGTACGTATGTATTCGCGTGTATTATGAAAATGAAATCGTTACAAAGGTGACAGATACTAGGAGCACTAAGGAAGGCTGTGCAGTTGGAATATACAGATTCGCTTCCTGGTGGAAATCCAAGTCCCGTCCCGAGCATCCTCCGTCCAACGTGGAGCTCAGGCCCGCGAGCGTCTTATCTTTCAATCCATCTCGTGACGCTGGCGATCAAAAAAACAAAAGATAGATGCGTACGACTGATCATAGCAACGAGTAAGTGAAGCTTGCTCGAAGCTGGGTTCTGAAAATTCATAGAGAGAGACCGAAAATATGGGAGAAAGGGAGATAGAGAATCTCTATGAAAAAACGCGTTGCGGTATACGCGACACATATATTCTTATGGGTCCCAGGGCTCATGTCTTAATGCACGTAGTTCCGTTTGGCAGAAATACGTCCGAATGCTTAGCATCGAGGAGGAATAATGAAAGAAGGCATTGGTGTTTATTCCTCGGTAGTAAATCAACTAAAAATAAAAATAACACACACGTATCTCCAAGTAGCATTTCTCAACGGAAAAATCCCTACATATTGCGATTTTATCGGCGAAAATTGATCACGACTCTATCGAACCAAAAATTGCGATGCGTAGCGATTTAATAGCCATATATCGCGATTTTTAATGCGATAGTATCTCGATATATTGCTGCCGATATAATCGCGACAACCAACCGATAAAATCGATTTTTATCGCGATCACTGCTACTTGGGTTACTGGGAAAAATTGATTTGTCATCTAATTAAAATTACGCAAAAATAGAATAAATGTATGAGGAAAATTAATGCTGGAGAATGTCCATTCATGTGTGATCGATTTTTATAGATTAGGGGGCTACGTCCACCGACCATTTCGTGCCCCCCCCCTCCCCCCCCAAAAAAAACCTGCTTCGCGCCTCAGGCGGAATGCCTCACGCTCACGCGTTATACTCTTATGACTTTAAGGCATAGAACAAGATATGACAACTCTAGGACTTCAGTTGCACAACGTTAATGAGGAGAATACTGCATTCTCCAAGGTGTATAAATCATCCCACAGTTGCAGTCAAAGCAATAAAAATTGAAAGTTCACCGATTGACATAGTGCGATCCCTGTGTACGCGGAAGTTAAATTGATATGCACATGGGTTTTATGGTGGTTTTATCAATCAAAATACGTTTTTATTCGTTACTTTGAATTGAGGACGATCCCAGTTAAATTGTGTGGGTGGATAAATGCCAGCAGATCGAATCCTTTCAGTTGGTTTTGTGCGTTAATGTAGAGTGGGCTATGATTTCAGCATGGCATAAGACGAGCCCGTTATTTCAGCAATTATTCATTTACATTCAAGGACACAGGATTATAGATTTCAGATGCAAAGCCTCGGGTTTATTGTTTTAGGATTGGTCCTCTGAAGGAGGGAGTGCTGCACGGACACACTAAGAAAAGACACAAAAAGTTCATATAATCTTTATTGGAGTTGTGTGGATTCATCTCAGTACTATAATTTATGGTGTAATTTTAGGTCAGAGGTATGTTGATAATAATGGGGAGAAAAATAATTTTAGACCCTCGCTACTGGTCTCTCTTACGGGTAGTATGGATTTTAATGGGATTTTCAGATGTTGCGTATCATGAATTATGACAGCTTTCTGCTGTAAAGGGAAAACGCCGTATGGGCCTAGAGATTTTGCCAAATTTCCAAAGATAAAATGTTAATTTACTGAAAAACATGTGGATATTTTTATCCCGATTTTTCACGGAATTTCATTCACCATTTCATCCATAATATCTAAAAATTTTGAGAGAGAATATGCATAACTCTTCTCAAAAATTAATATTTTATCGGAGGAAAGACAACTTTTGGAAATTTAGACGAAATTTACTAATGGGAATAAATACTAAAATAGCTTTTCACGCTTCACGTAAATTATGCTTTTTCACTAAATTTTCTTTAGCTGCCGATACAATTCAGTAAAATTTTCAAATTTACAATAATTACTTACGGCCGCTAATACCGTATTAGCCTATTTCCTGCGATCAATAAAAAAGGGAGTTACAAATGGACAAACTCTCCCTCCGCGAGCACTCTAAATGACTGCTTTGTTGAAGATCACCGCAATCTCTCAAAGTCCCTTCATTTGATCGCATATGCAGCACCATTATTTGTGAGTCAAAATAGTTGGAGTCACGAATTTTTCGTGTTACCATTAAGACTACAATTGATAATTAAACACTAAACAAAATAAAATCAACGTCGTCCACAGAGCTCAGCTCTATACTTTTTAAGACACCAATATTTGAGGAAACTTGTGAAAAATCTTATCAAAAAGACACTGCCCTTTAAATTTACTTATATATTTCAGTATACATTCAATGGAAAATCGATAGATTGGCACACGAAAAAAGTTTTCTCTTAAACGGTTTGCTTACAAGTTACTGTAACACATACAATTACATATTACATACAATTAAAAACATTATTTGCACATTTAACTGTACTGTCGATGAATGTGTCGAAATGAATTTAAACTATAGTTTCGACTCTAGTGCCATCGGCAATCATTAAAACATGTCATCATGCCATTAGAATGTCCTCTGACGGATTTGAGCGAAACGAATTCACTTGAAACAAGTGTCTCAGGTTTTTTTTTAAGGAAAATGTCACTTGACATCTTTCAGTTTCAAAGAAATCTACAGCCAGTATACGCGCTGTAACTGGGCATAATTTATTTAATTCAGGTATAAACCTAGGATTTTATTGTATACTAGTAATACCACTTTTCTTTTCATTTTAAGTAAAATGAAAAAAAAAAAAATCACAATTTGTTTAGGTGCTAACGGAAAAGAGCTTTTCAACCAAAAAAAATCTCTCTTATCCTATAATGAGTTGACAATTTCCAATAGGTGGGATCTGAATGATCTTTCAATGTTGTATCCATCATTAAAAAGTCCCGTAGAATATAAAGAGTTTTATCTGGTTTGTTCATGACTACTTTAGAGACATGCTCATCTCTACTTTTCTTTTTTCCAAATTTTAAAATCTATCGACAAAGTTAGCCAGCCTTCCTTCTAGATGTAAAGGTTCATAGAGCCATGCACTCATACTGTTTGAAATTTTTTCTTTGTTAATTATTGCCACAATATCAGTAAGGGGGTAAGCCAAATTCTTCTGGTATAAAATCTTTCAGCGTGGGAATAACCTTGGTTGCATTAACTTGATATTCTCCTGGCAAAGTAGGATCCGGCACCATCACAACTTGCATTCCGGCTCGTCTAGCCGCGAGCACGCCTTGAGGAGCATCCTCAAACACAAGCACCTGTATTTAAAAATTGTAGTTGCATCAGAGTTCCAATATTGATTTCAAAACTAGCATTCAGCTTTTTATGGCTGCTTCAGGTATGTATGGCGCAATTGAATTTTGCAAGTAATTTTTTTGTTTTGAATTTTCGATATTCTTTAGTCAAAGACATCCCCAGTTATTATCTCTTCTTGTACAAACGACTGGAGCATAACCCTGTTTGTCAGCCGATCTAGTATCAAGCAAATTAGACTATTATACATATTAAGGTATTTCCCGATCAAATTTTATTGAATAGATGCTATATTGCTGAATGTCTCGAGTTTTCATGGAAAGTGTTTTTTGAAATGTCCTTTATCTACTTCCAACTTTTTATTAGAATGAGAGTCCGCAGTTCCACCTCATTAATTTATGAAGCGAGAGTATTAGTTATTAAGTCTTATAGGTACAATTCCTGTACATATTTCTATCATAAATAATTGGCTAGTATAGATCCGCTCTCGTGCCTATGATATTTGATATTAACAAATACACTTTAAAACAGCAAGACTTATTTTTTCCTAGCTAAATTTGGCTGAATTCAAATGAATATGTATACTATCTATTACCTTCTCTGCCTTTGGAGGATCTTTGAAACGTTTCGCACAAATTAAAAATATGTCAGGTGCAGGCTTCCCGTTTTTAACTTCAGGATCACTTCCCCCAATAACAATATGCTCAAAAAGGTTGAATACGGGCTTATGATGCATAGTTGCCAATTCGTAAAATGGTGCGGTGTTACTTGTTGCAAGAGCTATTGGAATGCGATGGGAGGTAAGATGCCTTATAACTTTCTGAGCACCTGAGAAACAAACAAATTTTGAACCAAATCTTCTGCTATCGAATACGAAAAATCATGGAGAATTTAAGTTTCATGTTTACCAGCTTCTCGAAAGGAAAATACAATTTCTAAGGAAGTCTGCAACGTCGCAAATGGAGAAACGTCGTCTCTAAGTTTGCCCGAAAACATGTATGTGTAAAATTGAGGTCATTATGACTGGCCTCTCTCAACTTAAATTCGTCCGTAACGATAAACAATAGGACGCGTTTGCTACGGCGCCTTGATACAACTATACAACCTCGACGGACGTCCGTATTGCGTTCAAAAAATTGAAGGCGTTTTGACTTCCAACGCATAACACCTGTAGTTGATTCGATCGACAAACGCGTTGGTCGGCGGTGACGGGGACTTGAAGCAACTATTTAAGCTTGTTGGATGTACGTATCGGTCCGACTGAAGTGCGAAACCACGTATCTCCATTGCGGTGTTTCAAAATTTCCGTTCTTAATTCATCTCTTCCATGAGAAACAATCCAAATTTACGACTTTAAATTTTGAACCAAATCTTCTGCTATCAAATACGAAAAATCATGGAGAAATTAAGTCCCTTGTTGACCAGCTTCTCGAAAGAAAAATAAAATTTCTAAGGAAGTCTGCAACGTCGCAAATGGAGAAACATCGTCTCTCATTTTGCCCAAAAAATGTACGTATAAAATTGAGGGCATTATGACTGGCCTCTCTCAACTTATATTCGTCTGTAACGATAAACAATAGGACGCGTTTGCTACGGCGCCTTGATACAACTATACAACCTTGACGGATGTCCGTATTGCGTTCAAATAATTGAAGGCGTTTTGACTTCCTACACATAATACCCGTAGTTGATTCGATCGACAAACGCGTTGGTTGGCGGTGACGGGGACTTGATGCAACTATTTAAGCTTGTTGGATGTCCGTATCGGTCCTACTGAAGTGCGAAACCACGTATCTCCATTGCGGTGTTTCAAAATTTCCGTTCTTAATTCAATGAATACTTCACGTATTACGCCAAACACACTGCGATCATCCTTAAACGCATAGCGCCTACAAGACTGCGTAAATACTTCACGCATTGCGTCCAACACGGTGCGGTCTGCGCGGCGCGGCGGCGGAAGTCAAAATTATTAAACCACATTTATGTTTGTTCTTTCATAATTTTTTCGTTCATTTCTTATGAATGGATGGCCTTGTCCACACAGAGATACGTTTTCGGAACTTAACTTTCGCGCAAAGTTTCGTGAACTTTTGCTAGGAGTGTTGACAGGGTTTTCCCAAAAAATTTGTTCAACACGAGTAAATGTGTCTTATGCACCCCTCCCCCGCTTGCACGTTCATATGATGGTTTTATCGAGTTTTAAAACGAATGAGAGGGGGGCGGCAAAATACTAGCGGCCCATGGGCGGCAAGTAGGCGAATCCAGCTCTGCAAATGTCCCTATTTTCCACAATTGCTCATTTGAGATCCACACTAAATAATGTAAAATCTCTGTCATAAAGGAAAAGCACCACCTAGATAGATAAATAAGGGAAAAGAAATATCTACTAAAATAAGCAACCTCTGCTGTATCAATAGCTTTGGGACTTTTTCACTTGCTGGAAGTAAAATTTTGAAGTCCTTTAGTAAGCTTGAATAAACGCAAACATGGTGAGCTGGGTATTGATATTATGGAAATAACTATAAACATGCTGCTCTACCTGTTAATTTTCAAACGGTTTTAAAATATTTGACTGATCAAAATGATTTGAACATGATGTATCTTAAAAAATAAACAGAGCTAGCGACTTACCTGGCATAAAATCTATCGAAATTAATCGCTGACTGATTAATTTTTCGTATTCAGCTCGATAAGCCTCCGGTGTGCTGTTTATGTTTAATGTATCCACTATAGTTTTAGCTGAAAGATTTGGTTGTGTACCCATTACTTTAATTTTAACTTCCTTCGTGTAAGTTTTAGTGAACCTCTCGCAAACATCTGAGTGTGCCTTGAAATATACCTCTTCTGAGTCTGAAAGATGACAATAAGTTTCACCTTATATTATATCAACCACTTTATTTGTATCAACCCCGCGCAATAATATGTCGCTAGGTACCAAACATTTAATAAAATGAAAAATATAGATTGATTAGGTGGATTAGTGCAAATCATCGACGTAAAGTTAAGAATATTCGTCTCACTTTGACTCATTGCAAATTCCCTCTAGCGTTTTTCTTTCTTGCAGAAAAACCCGAATGGATGAGGTTTCCTTTTGCTTTCTTCAGATTATTTCCTAATAACTTTATGTACGTATGTGAGAGTATTTCTTTTTCTTTTTTCGTATGTGTATATGTGTGTGTTCATTAAATAAAATAGGTAGAAATAGATTTTTTTAAATACTACGATAGTTTTTCGGCTTGCAACATCAAAATAAAGTTTCTTTATTGCTCGTACATAAAAGTCAAAAATCTGTAAGATACAAGCAAATTTTTGAAATCAAAATCAATCAATTTTCACTGACGTATCGCTGATATAGGGGCTAAAATTAAACCTTGGGAATTAAAACATTGATTTAAACTTACCTAGTAGAAGACCATCCATGTCAAAAATGACCGCTTTCACAGACGAGAAGGATAAGACAGCACCAGTGCTGGTGACTATTATCACAAATCCAATAAAAAGCTTCATATTTTTGCCTACATTCTAAATAAAAAAATCAGCAGAAAAACTAAGCAAAATTGTGTCAAACAAAGATCACTTGCGATAATGACAGCATTATTGAGGAGTCTTTTAATCCGTTCTTGTCAATAGGTAAAGAGACATGGTGTGCCTGCTGCGCGAACATTTCCCTCAAACGTTGATGATTTCTACTAATATGGACCCCCTAAGTAGATAACATTCCACTGCGATCGATCCATCTGCTCAAATGATTTCAGATAGATCATAATGTAATTCATTAGTTCTTATTTTTGGTTATCAATATCTAGGAGAAATTTTTGGAAATGTAATACTTTGACGCCTATTACCTACCTAGTGACAGACGATGGAATTAAATCGGGGAGAAGAGAACAATCAGTGAATATGGATGAACAGGGCTCAAAAAAGAATTTCAGACAGGTACAATATAAGTGAGTAGGTACTGTTTAGTTTGATGATTACATAAAGGATTGTGAGTAATCAAGTAATCTGTTTCACTTTGATTGATGAAATGCAAATTGATTACTGCTTATCAGAACCTTCGTACTGAAAAATATTTGCATTGTCATGTTTCTTTCACATTAGCAAAAATCCATCGCAGCCTGTCCTGTTAGATTCTACAGCTTGCCTAGAGGTATTTGAAATAAATTTGACAATATAAGGCATGCACATATCATGTTTGGCTCATTGAGGAGACATCATATTTGCCATTGCCGTTCCCCTATGCAAAGAGGAGCTTTTAAGGATGAACCAGAAATGATAGTTCCATATTGCAATATCAATTTCACCACACAAAAACAAGTACCTTGAATTAGCATCGGCTAGTCTACTACATATAGAACTGGGGTTTTCTGAGGTTTCACAGTCTCCAAAATCTTCTTGAGATGGTTCCGATTTCACTTGGAACTCAGCTGTAAGGTTTTCATCCTCCATATTAGTCTCCGTAACAGACGATTCATCTCTCTGCTTCTTTTGGAGGCTTTCAAAGTAATCATTTAGACAGACAGAAAGAGAACCTTGACTTTGGTTGACAAGCAGTTTTGGACTCATAGGTAATGACAAATATTTTCGGACTAAGAATAAATCTGAATTATAGCCAGGAATAATCAATTTAATGCAAAGATCCAATCGGAAGAATCGATCTTTCGAAAGATCCATCCAACAATTCTGACTTTCACCACCAATTTCAAAATTAGGCAATAAAATATGCCCAAATCGCCATAAACCGATCCAGTGCCCCCCGATCTATTCTAATTTGATCCTTGATTTTGGGGGAAAAAACAGATGAGGTTGGATCTCTCGTGAGAGAAAAGAACATCACTATTGCCGTAAATATGTGTTTGCCATAAATTATCCTTTCGTTTCTAACAATTAATGAGGCAAATTTTCGGAATAAAAAGAAAAATTAAGACGATTTGGAACCGATTCTGATTCAGAGGAAAAAGAATCGATCTCCGTGAAAGTTAGGTCCAAGAACTGTCATCACTACTGACGATAAAAAATTGCTAATTTAACCACCTCCGCAGTCAAATTACGTTTCCACTACTGTAAAATGTACATTTGAAACATATCTGACATAGTTCTTAAACATTTAATCTCTGAATCAGCAATCTATTCCGTGCATTCAAACATTTTTCCAGCGTAGGTTTGTCGTCAAGAGTTTGTTTCTGACTCGGTTCCTGGACATGGAGCCTCCTAATTGGTTTTCCAGATCAAACTGCGGTTACATGGCGACAGCTTCTCGACTAAATCGGGATATCGCAAGGATGAGGGTTCCCCGCACGATGCACCCGGAGTGGCCTTCTGCGGGCGTCTCAAAAGAGAAGATCAATGCGTCGACATTGAACTCAACTCCTGTGGCAAGTGGCAAGTTCACACCGGAGACGATCACCGAGATCACGTCTTTCGGAGAAGCAGGCCAATTTAAGACAGGCCCGAGTTTATGACCAGAGCCTTATTATAGCTTCTTGCCAAGATATTGAAATTCGTGAGTAGCTGGGACGCATCTCATGGAGCATATCCTTTATACTGCCGTGCTGAGGAATGAACGCCGTATGAGCCTTCAGACGTTGCCGAATTTCTCTCCGGAAAACCGGATTTACTGGGGAAATTGTGAATATTTTGTCCTCGAAATTTTCAGACAATTTTGCACGCAATTTATTCTAAAATATATGAAAATTTCAAGGGAACATATTGACGGTGTCAGTCGGCAATCACGTATCTCGTTTGCGGCTTCTGAAAATTCTCCGCCTCTATGTTATTTTTTTAAAGGATAACAAATTGGTATCATTCCTAGAAGTTTTTGCAGAAGTTTGTTAACGCAGAGTAGAAAAATCACGGAAGTTTCAAAGAATTGCCGTTCAGTAGTTTTCCGTTTACAAAATAAAGTATGGCAGGAAGTCTGCAACGTCATAAACCGAGTTATGAGATTTCCGATTTACATCGTCGATATCCTTTATACTGCCGTGCTAAGGAAGAGCGCCGTATGAGCCTTCAGACGTTGCCAAATTTCTCTCGGGAAAAAACGAATTTACTTGAAAAATTGTAAATATTTTTTCCGCGAAATTTTCAGACAATTTTGCACGCAATTTAATCTAAAATATCTGAAATTTTCAAGGGAACATATGCTGAATTGCGTCAAAAATACATGTTTTGTTAATGGAAATTTGGTAACTCTTAAATATTTATACGGCACGGTAGTATACCTATCCGTATATCCATACTTCTTTCGATTTTACAGGGCCAGTCCTCCATGCTGATTATTGAAATTGATGGACAAAGTGACAGACGAAGAAGGCAAAGGGAATCAAAAGTGATCATTATGGTTGAGACGTGCGTATTAGACTAAGGGGACTAACTATAGGGTTCCTACTATGTTACTTTTATACTTAGTCTTTTACACACCATCTTCTAAAATTGAATCATTTTCCGCTAAAAGGGCGTATGAGACTTCCAATGCCGCTAAAATAGTACAGCGCACAGTTCTGTAGTTGTAAGTTACCTATCCGACTGTTCTGTTATAAATTTTTCTCTGAATCTCCTTTTAGTTTCTCCTCACTATTATAAAGCAGTAAGTTGACTGTAGTTGAATTTCATCAACCACGAACGCTTTAAAAAATTCCACAATTTTAGCAGCATTTCAAGCTCTTTTATCGAAAAATTCCCCAACTGATAATTCAATTTTTTAGTTATAAATGGAGGGGGTTGTCGTTTGAGTTTAAAGTAAGCTAAATACTTGAAATTTGTTTCAAACTTTTACTAAAAATGCGAATTCTTCAATTTTTGGGGCAAAATTTGTACTTCGATCCGAGGTATTTTTCGTATTTTTCTTTCTGATAAAAGTTAATCATTTTTCGGACCTTCTTGGTTTTTTTATGAATGAAAACCAAAGGTTTCTAGCTTATGGACTGCATTTTATAATTGTGAACAACCATTCTTGGGATTGCGTTTGGTGCGATGCGAGAAGTATTCCTGCCGTCTTGCAGGCGCTGATATGAGTTTGCCGCCGACCGCACCGTGTTTGGCGCGATTATTCGAACTCGCGTTAGGAGAATCGCGGCATTGATCAATGGGACTTAAAAGGCCCATATCGTATTTCGACGCCGTACGAGCATTCCAACGTTGCCTCGTTTCCTCCAATAAAGTATTTTTTCTGAGAAAAGTTAGGAAGGTTCTCTGTGTTCGCTTTTTTAGATTGAATGAACAAAAATTGAAAGAAACAAGGTACGAATTTAAGCACTCTGATACATGATTCTTCACCAAAATTTCACGTAGAACACGATTCTCGCAACGAAAACTACTGAAATCAACCTCTAGCCGAGATATTAGCGTTTATAATGTCCACTGGGTAAAGGAGCTTTGAATTGCCCGGTCACAGGAAAAACAAAATCCTACGCGAGTCAAATTGCGCACTACAACGACTTTATCCGACAATGCCTTCGAGCAATGTGTCTTTCCCACATAGGGTTGTTCAACACGTGTGTACAGCTTGAGCTGAGCGTCAATATTAAGGTTGACATATTTTCTTATCACTGAAACTGTCATATTGACTTTTTGCGTGCAATTTAACCAAAGTAAATTATTCCTTCTTCCATGAGCGGAAAGGTTGAATTTATTCTTAAATTATGTTATTATCACTGTTGTAGTTAATCTAGGGTTAGGATTTCGATCCCTCGTGCTTAACGTCGAGCGATCGCTATCCTCGTCGCCCCATTGGTGTTAACACCGCGAGCCTGCAATCTTGGGATTGAAGGATTGTGGAAAGTTCCCTGTTTTTTGTTTACTCATTTTTTTCGAATTTTTTAAATGAGAAAGAAGCTACCTTTATAGCTTGACACAAATATAGAATATTCTGCCAAAGGCAAGAAAAAATTAAGATAGTTTTAAATCAATTACGTTGAGTGTGTCAGGGAGTCTGCTTCTGCAACGTCGCAAAAAGATCTGTGGCTTCGCACTTTGGTCATCCTCATCCATTTGTTTATATCTCGTTTAAAAGTTGATCTCAAAACTTCTCGTTGTGTGAATATAGTTAATTTACGTATTTTGAGGTAAACTTCCGCCGTAAATCCATCATCCACGGCGATTTCCGTGACGAAAAATGCCTCGAGCAGCCCAATTATCAGCTGACCGGAAACAAGGAAAAATCGCGCATTTCCCGACGGGACGAACGGGATAACCGATCTTTCAAAGGGTAGAAAAAGGCCCGGGGCCCGCTGCGCGATCCCCTTATCGTTCCAGCCATCGGGGGACCGGGACGGTCAACCACCCGCGCCCGGATCAGCCCGACGATCCCCGCTGAATTTTGACCCAAGAGATCAGGCTGACGGAATTATATATTGTGATAATTAGGTAAACAAAAGGTTATTATATTTCCTGCTCTGACAGAGACTCTTCTCAAGAACCGATTAAAAACCCCAAAAATATGTTTTCCTCAAATACATACATTAGAGCCGGTTTCACGGCGCTTTCTGGCCCTCAGCAACGCCTAATTTGCACACAAAAATGTTATTGCTTTATCTGGCACCGCTTAGTGAGCTGAGTTCGCTGTATTTTTCATAATTTTTTCTGAAATTAGACGTAATTAGAAAAATAGATTTAATGGTTTGAGAATGTGCCTCCTTGCGACGTCATCCGTGGGAAATGCCGCCACATTTCCCATTTACACCTGTACTTTAGCAGATTAGGTTATCTTGTCAAATTTCTTCCAGTAACTGTTGATTGCAGAAACCAAGGATATCCTCGTGCTCGGTTCCCTTAGTGGTTTCATTCCGAACAAGAAATTTACAAAATTTCAGACACCTGCAAATTCTCCATCCATTTGACACTCCCTGTTTTTATTTTTTTTACACTGAGTCCCCACCGGAGTGTCCCTTAATTGGACCGCGTTTTGCAGAAAGGAACCAAGCCACATCAGCTGTTGCCAAATTTGACTGAACAATTTAATTTTTTTTAAAAGAACGTTTGTGCAAATTCTTTTGAATTTTTTTTGAACGTGGAAAATGCAGAACATTCAATGAAATTTCCAAAAAAAAACTTTCTCAACTGTTTTCATGTAAAAAATTAAATTGCACAGTTTTTGGCATTAGCCGACGTGGCTTCGTTTCTTTCTGCTTAACTCGGTCCAATTTTGAATTGCTCAAAACCGTATTCGCTCGGCGTTGAATCGCAGCGACGTCATCGAAACACCGCGTCACAGAGGAGGCGCCTCCACCTTGGCTCTGACAAGCGGAAGCTCCAGCGACGGAAAAACAAAGGCTCCCTGACGGGAGTGGAGCGGGCGAGGATTTAAGTGGCCTTTCCAGTTAGCCGGTGAATGGAGCTGTCGCATCTGCAAAACGCTTGATCGATGAATCGTAATCACAGCTTCCAGTGCATGCGCGCCCATTAGATCCGATATAAATCAGAGCCCTGCGCATGCGCCGAACGCTGCAACCCCGAATTCGTGTGAGGGAGGTCAGTGCTAACCTGAGCCCCTCCACCGCGGTTAACAAGGTTTAGGGCCATGGATTTGACAGTGTTGCCGATCGAGTGGCTAATTTTGTGACAGAGGAGAGGTTTGTTCGAGGAAGATTTTTAGTTTAATTTTACATTACAAAATACGTGACATTAATTATTGGATTTTTTGATGGACTTGACAGTGTTGCCGATCAAGTGGCGTTTATAAAGCATACATCTAATTTTGTGACAGAGAAAAGGTTGGCTCGTGGGAGAGGGTTAGTGTAAAATTACTTTAGGGGTCATTCACACTCAATGAGGTAAAGTTAAATTTTGTAGGAAAAAAAAACACGACAGAATTTTAGCCTCGATTTCTGTCACGCTTTCACTCCTTGCAAAATTTCTCGTCTCATCATCAAAAATCTCTGTGGGTCCTACAGGTTATAAATGACCCTCAAATATTCAGACCTCATGCCTGGCAAAATTTTGAAAAAAAGTTAGACAACAGATTTGAGCCGTCAAATGGGCTTGAAGCCTACTGTCAACACCTCAAGGGTTGCGATTATTTTAACATGAAATTATCTGGGCGTCTATTTCTGTACAATCAGACGAAATGAAAAGCTGACAGCGATACATGCATGTGCGATCATAAAGCTATATTTGATATGTAACTTAAATATATACATATTTCGATGGTGTAAGTCCGCAACCGCGTACCTCAATGGCGCGGCGTGAATTGCGATGTATCGATTGTTATGCCTTTTAAACATATGGTAAATAATCGATTATTAAGGTGTTCGCTGCGAACACCTTATTTATCGATCCTTTTCCATAGGTTTAAATGGCATAAAAATCGATATATCGCAAAGCACGCCACGCCACTGGCGTACCTCGGTTTGTGACTTTGCAGATTTCCTGTCATACCTAAATTTATCAGTGGAAAAATGTTCAGCGTTCTCTGTGCAAATAAAATTCTGTGAAATCTTCAAGGAACGATGCCGATTTGTTTTCTTTAAAAAATATTATAGGAGCGGAAATTTTCAAACACCGCAAACAAAATATCGACGATGAAACTACCAGACCACGTATCCCGTTTGTGATGTTTAAAAATCTCCATTCCCGTTTCATTTTTGTGAAGGAAAACAAATTAATATCATCCCTTGAAGTTTACTTGGATTTATTTTCGCTTAGAGAAGAAAAATCACTGAAATATTCAAGAACTGATGTGCAGTTGTTTTTTATTTGAAAAATAAAGTATGACGGCAGGAAGTCTTCAACGTCACAAACCGAGAAACGTGGTCTGGTAGTTTCACCGTCGATAAATAGTAGCAGATTTACACCGTCGCACACTGGATTGAGTCAATAAGAGAAGTCGGACAAAATTTGGAAACTTTAAACGCTTATATCTCCGTTTATCCAAACTTTGAGGTTTTAAAATCGGTTCCATTGGTTTCCTCATGAAATTGTCTACTTAAAGCACTCCTTGAAATTTAAAAGGTGACTGAAAAAACATCAAAATATGCAATTTTAGTAAAAAATGTCATGCTCGACCGCTCTAATAAACTCGATCCACTGTTTGTCGATTTGATCAAAATCCCTTGTTAAGTAAAGTTCCAGGTGTATATTTGTCTTATCAAGTCAACTCTGTTGTTTTCAAAGAGTTTATATAGCAGCACATAAATGATGGATGCTTCATCTAGCTGATGAGAGAAGTTCGACACTGTTAACCGTGGCGTCGCTGCTCTAAATATCCTTTGTAGATCACCCAGCCTGGCATCATCTTACTCATCCGTCTTCATCTGTCCATTCATTAACGCACACAAATACTCACGACTTACTAAGTGGTGGTAGGACCGTGAAATCCTTCAAATATATTCTTATTTAGGATGCACTATATAAAGCATTGCTCTTTCCGTCTCTCAAACCAGTAATGCAAGCATCTAGCTCTACTTTGTTAATTTAAGAATCAGTTTTAGTGTAAATCATCATGCTGCAGGTATGTTTTTGTTTAAATTTGTGTTATCTACAAGGAGTTGACACACGTGCTCTTTTTATTTTTTTTTTGAGTTCGCGGATCGTTTCCTCAAAGTTATTTTTCCTTTTTAGTGGTTCCACTTTGCTATCTAACGGCAAAATTTTGAGTGGTTAGTTCAGTTCCAGTTATTGTACCTTGTGAATTTTAGGTAGATACTACTAGAAAGATTCATGGCGCACTTTTTTCCTACCTGAAAGTTCCCAAAAATCAGTGATCTTGTAGTGATGGACTTGTGATACGTATTCTCATCAACTACATTAGTTCTCTAATTATTAAGTGGGCGGCTAAAGGGTCGGTCCATGAAACAACATCATTTTCTAAAGATGTTGTGACGATGCTGAGAATATTTTCAAAATTCCATCATTCACTATGAAATTGATTAATCTTCAAATTACACTGTCGACAATGTTATGAAGCTTATCAATGGCTAAAGTGTGAGACCAAGTATATCCGTTTGCGAAGTTGTAGACTTCCAGTCATACTTCATTTTTTCCTTCGAAAAATATTCAACGTATTTTTTTTTAAAAACTTCCTTAATTTTTCTGCTCTATTCGTAAAATACTCTGTATAATGCAAGATATCAATTTGACTTGTTTCCATTCGAAAAATATGAGCTAGGAGCGGAGACTATGAAACACTGCAGTGTAGATACATGGTTCCTTACTTTAGCAATCGATGGTTTCATTTCCCTTTCCTTCGTAACGCATTTTTACATTGAATTGTACTCAAGAAATTGAGGTCTAATAATAATAATAATAATAATGTAAAAAAAATAAATATACATTATCATGTCCACTTACACAATTCGAAGTTCGATTAGCAGTCACTGTATCGTACACATTTTATTAGATATTCTCATACTAACATATTCTCAAAAATCAATTTCAATAAAAACGGCTGCACGAATCTTCAGATGTTGGTATTTCGTAATATTATTTGTTTATGATAAACAGTATAGATAAATAGAATCGCACCTAAGCTCGCAAACTCAGAATAATTCATTGATTTAAACTTATTTATCACTAGTGGTATGGTTCTCAGAAGTTAGAAACACAGTTTTTCCCTCATTGAAATGTATGAAAAGAAAGAATCACTATTGCTCATCGCTCGATCGAAAATCAATGTAAATCGGATCAGCAGGTAAAAGGAAACTAAATCCTATTGATATTGAAAAAAATTCATTCAAATCCTTCTCATAAAATCTTCAAACTTAAATTCAACACAATCGAAAGATGTTTACACGGTGGGGCACAACGAACTTATTTTAGTGTCCAATTTGATTTGAGCATTGCTAACAGCTTTTTGAGGGGCAGGGAATTTACATTGAATAATACAGACAAAACTGATTTCTCTCTTTAAAGTTCAAGTCGGATGAATCAGCCGCAATCTACATGAAATTCTGACGAGAAATCATGTAAGGAGATGGCTAAATTTTCACCTTGACTGGTCCAAACATATATAGAACTTTCGGGAAATTAGCATCTAGTCGTGTGTATTGTAGGTACGCATTTTACGGAAATTAGACGAATGAACTTTCAATTCCAAAGCGTGATCTACTAAATTTTCAGAGCAGATTGTCAACTTATGAAATCATACGACCATTCCAAAAGCATTCCGAAATTTTTGAAAAGTTTCTATCAGTGACGATTCTTGAAAGTTCGCAACACTGTGTTTCCTCAATTTAAATCCATTGAAAAGTTCGATTTAAGGTGAGGCAAGCTCGGTTATGGGACATTCTGACAACGATTTTTTGTCCACGCACCTATTTTTTCTAGTAGTTTACGTCTACGCGTTTTTTCGGCATGGAATTGCCATTTACCAATTAAGACCCAAAGTTAATAAGTCTACATATGAATACATGTAGGTCCTAGTATCTGTATTCAATAACGTTTAGCATGATTTTTGAACGTTATCAGAGGTCAAAGTGACTTGATTCAAGCAGAAATATGCTCAAATTTACCGCCGAGAGAATTTCTTCATGAATCAATAATGAAAATAATGCTTGTTTAAAAGAAGAAAATATGCTTACATTAAAAAGAAAAGTCACTTACATCAAACAGACACCCGCTTTCATTCAGCCACTTCCTTCTTTATTTAAAATAAAATCCTCTTGACTGTATACTCAAGAATTTTTTGCCTAAATCGAGTCACTTTTTTCTCTAATGACATTCAAAAATTATGCTAAACGTCATTACGGATGCAAGGACTTAGTGAGTTTTTGGATTACAGCTCTCTTTTTGTGCCGTGGTATCTTGATTTAATTTGCGGGGGAAGCTCCGTGCTCTTAAAGGATGCCTGTCATCCTTAATATGCTGGAGCGCCTTCAATTTTGTATGATACAGTGCAACACCTCTGTTGTGAAATAGTTGCTTGAAACGCCGTAGCACTCTGCGGCGCGGCGGGCGACTAGCGTGACACGCGCATAGGCGCCTACAAACCTAAGTGGATACTTCAAGCATTGCGCAATGTTTGAAGTATCCCTGTAGGTATGCAGGCCGCTTCGCTCTGTGTTCGGCGCAAATATTTAAACTCGCGGAGTCAGCATTTTTCAACTCGTGATTTTGAAATTTTAGTACACTCTGCGTGGATTACTCTCATGTAAATTGATGGAAAAAAATATGTATTCAAGGAAATTATAATGTGTGTTTTGTAAATATTAAGGTGGTTCCGTGGCAAATTTAATGACCTCCAAAGCACTTTAATTTTTGCTGTTATATATTGTGCTTTTACTGTGCTGCAGCATGGTGCACGCGCAACCAAACGGTCAGAATTGGACGCATTTCACTCCAAAAAGTCGATGTAAAAATACCGACGAGTGCTCATATTCTAAAAATTTCTATACCCAAATCAAATCAATGGGAGCTAAATAAATCGGATCTGCATGCTTTATAGTTTACTTTAGTTTAATCGATTTGAATATAATTCTAATTAGCATATATATCTCCAATTACTGTTTTTCATTTTTATGAATCAAAAATTTATGGCGCGAAAAAACAATTTCAAGTTCACCGATGTATTTCCCATATCAATATTCGTGATCACGCATTTTAATATGGACTTTCCATCCGTTTTCAGAAATCAACGGCAATCGCCTTGTTGGCGATTCTGTTTTTGATAAAATCTCCTGTGACGGCATACACCTCAGGCAGCTCTGATGGAGGAGGAGACGGAGGTTATGGAGGCAGCTCAGGTCAAAGTGGTTACGGAGGCTCCTCTGGCGGAGGTCAATATGGGCCAATGTCTGGCCAATCGAATTCGTTCGGCGGAGGCAATCAACAATATGGAGGAGGAGGAGACGGCAGTAATCAGTACGGATCTGGAATGAGTGGAGGCGGACAGTATGGATCTGGAATGGGCGGAGGCGGCCAATATGGTTCTGGAATGAGTGGAGGCGGCCAATATGGTTCTGGAATGAATGGAGGTGGCCAGTACGGATCCGTAATGGGCGGCGGTCAATACGGAGGCGGAATGGGTGGTGGTCAGTACGGATCTGGAATGGGCGGTGGTCAGTACGGTTCTGGAATGGGCGGTGGTCAATACGGATCCGGCATGGGCGGTGGTCAGTACGGATCTGGAATGGGCGGTGGTCAGTACGGATCTGGAATGGGCGGTGGTCAGTACGGCTCACGCGGAGGTTCTGGTATGTACGGAGGCCAAGGAAACCAAGGTTACGGAAATGGAGGCTCATTTGGGGGACAAAATGGAGGTTCAGGAGTTGGCGGCAGAAACCAAAATACGTTTGCACCACCAGCTGCTAAAGTTTACTTCAATTTCCTCTGGCCCAAGAAAAACCGAGGCATGGAAGGAGGAAGAGGTGGCTCTGGGGGTTCTGGTAACTCCTTTGGCTCGCAAGGCGGTCAGTATGGCTCTAGGGGTCAAAGCGGTGGTCAGTATGGCTCTGGCGGTCAAGGGGGTGGTTACGGTGGATCGAATCAGTCTGGTAACGGTGGCGGGTATGGACAAGGCCAAGGTCAGTATGGTTCAGGAATGGGTGGCGGTCAGTATGGATCCGGAATGGGAGGTGGTCAGTATGGATCCGGAATGGGAGGTGGTCAGTATGGACCCGGAATGGGAGGTGGTCCGTATGGATCCGGAATGGGCGGTCAGATGGGTGGTCAATACGACTCAAGTTCTGGTCAGTCCGGAGGGTCATTGAACCAGTACGGAAGTTCTGGAAGTCAGAGATCCCAAGGTCAGTACGGCGGTGGCTCCATGGGTGAGTATGGAGGTTCAGCTGGCTCGTCCGGTGGATACTGAGAGATGATAGTGCCACCGGCTACCCCCCCCCCCCCNNNNTAAATCGGGAAGACTGACGGAACAATGAATCAGCCATTTTAATTATCATGACGCTCACATTTACTTGTTTGGGATGATTTAAATTGGTTTCAAAATGTGAAGGATGTTCTATGCCATTATGTATTCTTCAGATTTAAACTAGTGGAGCCCTCACTTCATGAGACTAATTCTGCCAATTTAAAATGTTAATTTGCAGCTCTGCGAAGTAATTTTCTTCTGTTTGGCGTCATCAATGACGAGCGATGATGAGAAATTCAGGATTTTCTGCTTTTTTAAGTTCTTTTTTTCATCTAACCCTAATAGTTCATGTCAATCAATATTTTCAAGTCATCAGAGTGCATCTTGTAGTGGCAAAATTTCTTCTGAACACGTAACCACAAATTATCATTTTAAATGGTTAAATGAAACTGTATTTGTTTTTATATTGATACTTTCAACATAATTCGTTAGATTTGCTGTGAGCAAAATCATCCAGGTATTTAAACTTCTAAAGTTGCCTCTTTGACATGAAGGGTTTTTTTGGCTCAGAAATTTTCAATAGACAATTTAACAGAAATAAAGTTATATTTTTCGGTAGAAAAAATTCATTGTTCATTTGTGATTTTAATTTTGTTTTAAGATTTTTTATTTCATGTGTTCTCTCACAATTGCAAATACCTTCGATGTACTTCCTTTCGTGTGTGCTTTTAATTTATGTTATTGTTAAGTTATTATATTATTGTTCAAGTTTATATGTCTCGTCATTGCTTAATTTCTCCCCACTGGTGGATTTCTCTTCTTAAACTTGCCCTGAAAAAAAGGAAAAATAGGTAAAAGTTTGATCAGCTCCTCAATTATGTATCTGATAACGCATTTTGATCAGTAAAGCTGGGTCAAAATTCAAGTATGCTTATGACAGAAATTACCATACTTTAGCGGCCATTTTTTTAAAGGTGGCAAATTTGGTTTTCCTCCATCTAATTGTAAGTAAAACAATCGAGTCCTGGTGAATTTTTAGGAGACAAGAATTAAAAAAATATAAACTTAAAAATTATAACTGAATGAAATTAATAATTTATAATTAACGAAATAATAAAAATGTAGAAACCCAATTGAAATTTCAAAAAACTTTGAAAAATATAAATAAAAAAAGCTATTCCAAGTCTAATTGTATGTTTAATATTTATACATCGAAATCCTTCCTATGAAGCCTCTTGAATCATACCCACTCATCATTTTAGAATGATTAAAATACCTAGATCACCTCACCTAAAATCGATTTTAAAAGGAGGAAAAACAGCGTTGCCAACTTGCAAAATCACCACTGCCAAACTACCGATGAAAATTTCCTATATTTTTCTGCCACTCGCTTAAGTTTCTGGCATATTTTTAGGGGCGCACTCACAGAAAACTTTGGTTATCTAACCAAAGCGTACCTTTTCAACCGATAGTAAGAAGCAATTTTGCAAGAAACATGTAACTCGGCCATGACCGAAACAGCCCTGAAAATGCAGGCACGTTACATCGTTACATAGTATGAGTCGGAGGACCCAATTGTGGTTACTATGTAGGTGCAGTTTTATCACCTCCGTCGCACTATTTAATTATAGAAAATATTTCACCGAGAGCTCCTTTCAAATTATTAGCATCTTCCTCTTGGGTCATCGATACTCCATTTTATCATGGTACACGGCTTTGCTCGACTCTTTGCATCCGAGGCAAGAACCCGTCTCAATTAAGTGCAAAGCGAGAGCAACATTGTACGCCGGAGTGATCGTTGATTCTCAGCCCACGATAAAAATGTCATGCATAATTGAGGTTTAGGTTACGAGGAACCGTAAATCGAGAATATAGATAGAGGTGAATCCGAAAATCCATCAGGCCTTCACCGAAGCCTCCGCGAATAAACTTGGGGCCCAACAGAGCAGTCTAACCTGTGGTTTTAAATTATCCAGAGCGATTTATTAAAACAAATAAGGGGTTTGGAGGAAAGGCCCATATATGCAGTTTTTGAAAAAAATTGAGATTTTCGTGAGCTCAACTAAAAGTAGTTTGAAAGCATAATATTCCGTGAAAAATTCACAACTAAAATTAAACTTTAAAGCGTCAAAAGCTGAGTTTAATATTCCTCTCTGCCATGGGGCTCCACGTAATTTTGAAACTTTAAACACGTACTTCTTGAAATGAGGGACTTGGAGGACAAGGCGCATAAGTGCAGTTTTTGAAAAAATTGAGTCAGTATTAATTTAAAGCAAAAATATAGTCTTAATGGATATTCTGTGAAAAATCACTCCCAAAATCCAATTTTTAAGCATCTAAAAGTCAGTTTGAACTTTCTTTCCGTTATGAAGATCCATGCAATTTTGAAACTTCACACACGTATTTCTCAAAATAGCAAAAACTGCACGTCTGCGCCGTGTCTTCCAAGCCCGTCAATTATTACAACCCGTTGTTTGTAAAGCATGTATTTTACTTAGTTTTTGCATAAGAAACGCTCATTTATGAACACTCTTGGTTATCTAGGTTTGCATTGTAATCTGTATATTGACAGTGAAATTTCCGTGTTAGAAGGCTGGCTGCCTTTTTGTCCCTCAACCCCTTCATGAAACAAGCTGTTCATTCTCTAAGTGTCCGGGTATACTCTGGTTCAGGTGGTTCATCCATATACCCATACATTGATCAACCAGACATCTAATGTATCAAAATCAGATCAAATTTCTAGATCTGGTGGTCACTGATTTTTTTTTTTTTCGAATGATAATAATGAAAAAAGAACGAAAAGAGGTTATTGCTCTTGAGTTTAGGTGAAAAGAGTCATTTCAAAGAGTCTCGTCCATCTCAAACAATTAATCGAAAATTCAAGAAACATAAACAAAATTTGGCCGTGAAAAAATGTTTCATTCGACAAAGGAGTAAAATGTATCACACGAGGTATGCACCGACGGCGAAACTCTGAAACCACAAATTACAGCTCCCTACGGACGTTGCAAACTTTGCACCAAACTTTACTTTTTAAGTGGAAAACTGCTCAACGACATTATTTTAAAACTTCCACGATTACTCTTCTCTTTGCAAAGGAATTCTGTGGAAATTTCAAGGAGTGATGTGATTTGAGTGATTTGATGTTGATTCGTTCTCCCTACAAAAAGAGTAAAACGGGAGCAGAGGTTTTTAAAACACCAAAAAAAAAGAAAGAAAAAAATACGTGATTTGTAATAAGTTTCATTGTTGACAACTTATTTCGTGGCCAAAATCTGGATTTTTTTTTTCAAAAAAGAAACAAAAATAAAAAAACAAAAAAACCCTTGGACTGATTATACGAACTCAAATAATAATATATACATTCATATGAGAAATGTTGACAAATAGTCCATTTTGGGTGCGACCCAAAAAAGGATAAAGTCTGGAAAATAGAGATTAAAATTATATGGAATAAAATCATCTCAAAGCATTCTGAACCACGTCAGCGTTGTTTTGTTTATTTTGGATGAAATTATTAATGTACGACTTTAAAAGCACGGCACTGAAGTTACACACTTCCGTAAATATTAGAATCGTCATATGAATCTTCAGACGTTGCCGAATGACGTTTTATATCATATGGTCTTTCTGGGAGATTAAGAATATTATTCTTATTTTTCAGTGATTGAAAATTTTGATTGAAGATGATCAGATTTTTCAGTTAGATCCAAAATATCTGAAAATTGATCTGTGACTAAAGTATGTAACTCTTCTCAAAAAAACTTATTGTATCCGGGGAAATTTGCCAACATTCGAATTTTCCTGCGGAATTTTTCCATAACAAGGCAGCGCAAGTCCACCTCGCAAGTCAATTATCCGACTTCAGATAGACTAAATATACACCTTCGCAATGGCACCTATGTGAGTTTTTCGCTTTCAAAATCCTTATTTTGGGATTCGGTCTTTACGGATGCACATCTTAAAATTTTGTCTTACCAAACATGTACGAATGTATGGCTTTTCACATAAACAGCTCTCATATTTATTTATGAACACGAGGCCCCTATAAATATCATTGCAATTCTATACCTAGATAGTGCAAGTTTTTTTTATTTTTTATTTTTAGAAGACCTGATGCCCAAAGAATTGAATATATATTTCATACTTACATACCAAACAATTCGCTTCAAGTTTATGTATCATTAACATACAAAAAGTCATATCTTAGCGACATGTAGTATGCTAATAGTTAGTCTTATCTGCATATTGTAGTCCAATTTAGTGTTACTAAATAATGTTACCCATGGGTCAATCTTTGCAGTCTCGCAGATAATTCATTCTACTCTTTTTATAAGAAATATATGGTCAAAAACATTTTGCATCAATGTGGTTTTACAATAACTTTTTGAAACATGATTTACTTTGCCTAACACACCTCTTTCTAGCTTAGAGGTTTCTACAGCCATTGGCGCTTGAGTTCAGTTTAACTAGCCCCTTCAATTTCGACAGATACAGCTTGCCAGACATGTTTGAGAGTGACGTTGAAGAAACTTTCCTAGGTTGATTGGTTGGTATTATTTCTTCAGCCAGGGATCAGGCTGTTAATTGGTAAAAATCTCAACGAACAGAGAACGCGTAGGATTTAGACAGGTACGATTTGATATTGATAGAAATATGGTGGAATTAATGTATTTAATAATTTTCCACAGACGGCTCAAAATTTTTAAATCAAAATGTATTGAAGAAAATTGTCGATTTCCTGTCTGAGAATGTCTATACTTATGCATACATTCGGAATTCATTATGAGAAATGAAACTACTATGTCGGTCTCATTTCAGAAACAACGTATGTGCCATTAACTTTCTTACTCAGATAGGTGCTTTTATGGACGATAGCCACAAATTTTAGCTTCTTATTGTAGGTAGAAATGCATTTGTAAATAAATGATAGTTCACAAATGTTTGAGTGTTTTCTGCTATATGTATGAGCAAAAGTCAGAGGTTCTCTCCGACGAGCAGTTACGAGTATACAATTAAAAAAATGACGACAGAGACATTTTCTCGTACAATAAAACTCTTTATTAGTTTTTGAAAAATTCACAAAATAAATATTTGCCTTTATCACTTGGGACTTTTCAAGGCACCAATACATTTTTTTTAAATTTTGAAGATGGAATATTCTGTACAACTTTGAAATGGTAACTAAACAATATGCTCCATCAAGTTACTAAAGCTAGGGTAACTTAACATTAAAATTATTTATTAAATATTTAATATAATGACCTTTACAGTATTAAAATTTCAAGCTTACTCATAGAGAAGAAATAGGATATTCATAGGCAATTTGTATGCGTATGCGAGGCATTTAACTACTGCAGCGTTCGAAAATGTTTCGTTAAGTATTCCAGCAGAGTGAATAAAATTACAAAAAAACATGGTGAACAAATGACACTGTAATAACTGGTTACAAGGAGGATCACCTCATTTGAACATGAAAAGATGATGTTAGCTCCGCATTAACCCTTACTAAATATAAAGTAACCAGAGTGATTAATTTCGTCATCAATATATTCATAGATTTAAGAAATTTGGCACAAATATTTTATTACAGTAGAAAATAATTAATGAATCACAGACCATTAGAGAGATACGACAACGCATCTTAGGTAAAAATTTAACATTATCATAAACAATTTCGACACATTCAAACCAAAAATCGCAGTTTTGTCGTGGATATAGCATCATAGATGCAATGACGAATATAATCACCCTGATTTTTGAATCATCCACTACCTAATACTGCGATTTCCTTAGTCAACATTCTGGTTTGACAAAATTACATTTGATTTTCAATTCTTTTGTTAGTGAGGACAGTTACAAGATGCTCGGAGGCACAATTTGTCGTTCTGCCAACAAAAGGACAATTGTCCATTTTCATGAAAGTCCTGGAGAGTTTGGAGTTATTTGGACGAAGCATGGTCCTTATCACAGTGTTATTACACCAGTGTTATTGAAATTGGCTACGATTGAAATTTGGAACCTAATGCATTTCTTTAAATGCGACGGATCCATTTTTACCATCAATGAAATAAAAAATTGAATTTTTTTAGCAAATTATCTTAAAAACCTTGATCTCTCAATGTTTTTTCACTTGCGGAATAGATATATCTTACAAATGTTTGTCAAATTCTAAAAGAAAAGCTCATCACAAACTATCCTCGCTGATTTTTATACTTACTGTTTAGCCAAGCAGATTTCCTTTTATCATAAAAAGAAACCCGAACAATTTTAAATCACTTTGCATCACTTGAAGTGGAATTAACATGTTTCATTGCTTCCATTCAGAGAATTATCGAGTAGTTAATAATATACATTAATATTTACAACAATTGACCACTTGAGAGGGCTTTACATTAAGCACCACAATACCAATTTTTCTCATAAAAATTTCACATAGAATACATCGGATGCGTTTAAAATGTATAAATTCAACACGTCACAAACACTCAATTTTTTTCGCAGGTGGGTGGTTTGAATTGGTTTATAGACTACCAGTGACGAAGCGTGTATGATCTATAATCGATATTCCCCCATTTGAAGCTATGGTAAAGAATCGATCATTACGGTGTTCGTTGCGAACACCCTGTTTATTGATCCTGTTCCATAGGTTTTAATGACAGATCAATCGATACATCGCAAATTACGCCTTGCCATTGGATAGTACACAGAGAAAAATATATTAGTGATTACTAGGAACTCAATTTCATAGGATCCCGAGAAATCTACTCACTAATAGGACATTTTGACTATACTAATCACGTGGCTGACAAAAATAACCTGCGGATCGATTGTTTAATCGTTATTGAATAACCCGAATCGATAAATTGCGCTAATAAGATAGGAATTAATCGATCAAGTTCATTCGATTACGATCAAACAATCGACCCGCAGATGCAAGACTAACGCTTATACAAAATCTATAATCAGCCAAACTTCATTTTACATTGCTTTACTTCCTTCCTGTGTTGTATTTCTTGACAAGAAACTAAACAAGATAATGCTTTGAAGATGTGTGAACTTACACTAGATTATGATGAAGAATTTACTCACGAAATTTTGAGTCTGAATATGGCTTTGTTTCGTAATGGAAAAATGTATTATCAGAGGGAATCAGGCGACGTATGATTTAGTTAGGCAGATTCCAGCTAAATCGTTCTATACGGACCGCGTTTAGCAGAAAAGAACCAATCCGCATCACCTATTGTCAAATTTAACTTGGACATTTAATTTTTCACAGGAGAACGTTCGTGTGGATTTCTTTGAAAATTTTAAGGAACTGCTTTGGACTATGCAGAAAATTTACTGAACTTTGCACTAAAGTCCGCACAACCGTTTCCATGTAAAAAATTAAATTGCCCCGTTAAATTTGGCGATAACTGATGTGGCTTGGTTCCATTTTGCTTGACGCGGTCAACATAAATCTACTCAGTACTATGATCTTCTACATTCAAATTGTATTAGCTGAAATCTCACCCTAACGTTACTTCATTTATCATGCTCAATGCGTTAATGTTGTGTCTCTTTCATTTCTGTCATCAATTTCAATGTGTTCTATGTGAGATCTGAACGAGGTAATGGGTTTTGTAGTGTTCACATTTTTACCCAGCATAGTGGTCCTTCTATCAAATTGAGCAACCTAATACGAACCCCCTCTTCCGCCATAAGCACCGGAGCCTCCATTACCTCCACTTCCGCCTCCATAGCCTCCGGCACCTCCACTACCGCCTCCATATCCTCCGGACCCTCCGTTACCACCTCCGTAACCACCTCCGCCGCCGCCGCCTCCGTAACCTCCGTTACCACCGCCGCCGCCTCCGTAGCCTCCGTTACCACCGCCGCCGCCTCCGTAACCTCCGTTACCTCCACCGCCGCCTCCGTAACCGCCACCTCCACCGCCGCCGCCTCCGTAAGCTCCGTTGCCGCCTCCGTAACCTCCGTTACCACCTCTGCCGCCGTTGGCGAAGCCTCCTTCTGGTTCCCGGTAGGTAACTCTTGGTTTGTACCCCTCGCTGTCGGCCTCGTATTCTACGATCTGCGTTCTTCCGTCGGGGAGGAGGACGTGATAGGATCCGGTTGCTTCGTCACCTTGTCGCCTTTCACTGTGACCGAACATGGCACCTGATTCCGGAGCGTTGACCTCGTATGAGAACTCGTAGTTGGCTGGCTCCTGGAACAATTTTAATTTTAAAAGTTAGTGGAAAATACACCTCAACGGGCTGATTAATCAAATTAATAGACAAAGCTTTAGATAAAGAAGACAAACGGTATACGGAGGAAATCTATCGGTGGAAACGGATGGTTCCAATGGACAATGGAGGTAGGTGATAGAGTAGCTAGAGGCAACCCAAGAGAGACCCTATAGTTAGTCCATCAGTTTTTCCCTCAGTCTATAGGAACCGACAATTTCAACCAAATAGAATCGTTCCATACTATCTATGTGTTTTTTGTATATAGTTTTGTCCATCTATTTCAATAATCAGCCCGCTGGTCCTGAATATTGTAAGCCAGTTTACATTTACGGCTGACAGTTGTGATGCCGGCTTGAAGTGCCTTAAAGTTTCCAATTAAGGGTGGCATGAAAATTAGTCTGTTTTCTTGAGTTCTTGAGTTAACATTGAGTGTCGCCGCGGTACTCCCAGGGGCGATTACGTCGGGGACTTAAACGAAGCGGTAGAAAAGTGAAACCAACCGCGGCGTATGTTACCTAATTTAGCACTGTGTTCTTACAAAAACGACCCAAAATAGAAAAATTTTACTTGCTGATCTTATATCAAAGGGACTAGAGTAAGGTAATAACATTTCTGCAGCAAATTGAACGCATATACTTACCTGTAATAGGTGAAAATGTGAGAGAGATTCATCTCAAAGAAGGCTATTCTCTCGTATAAATACACTGAGAAAACTGTTTGGTTTATAAACCATACTGTGGCTCAGATGGAATACCATTAAGATGGTAAATGAAATAGTGGGTTTTGGTTTTGGAACCAAACGAAATTATATATACCATAGTAATGACATTTAAATCTATGTGTATAGTTCAAACACCGAAAATCATTAGTTTGCTGTTAAAATACAATTTCCTGATTATAGTCCCTCTGATATAAGAGTGGCAAGTAAATTTTCCGTATTTCGGGCCATTTTTGCAGAAGCACAGTGCTGCATAAGATAACATACATCACGGATAGTTTTACTTTTCTACCGCTTCGTTTAAGTCTCTGACGTAATCGTCTGTAGGCGTACAATGGTGACACTCATTGTCAAAAAAACATCAGATTTCCCGATATGAGTACAGGATTAGGATTCATTTTCATTCCAAACTCGGCAACCTCAAGGCATGTCAAGCGTATTCCGCGTAGGAACCGGCGCGGCATCACAATGATTAATCGGAATGTAAATGAGAGAAGAATATTAGGTTTTATTAAATGGGAAGAAAGTCATCAACCGTCCATCAATCCTTCCATATTATGTGTAACACCTCAAGAGGACGTTTTGCGAGGAGTCTGAATCCGCTTGTTTGCAGTGATGTCAAGTTATGCAAAAATTCTAAATAGTTTATGTGAGATGTTTTTGAGAGTAAGTATTTTCATGAAAATAAGAGCGAAATCCCAAGAACATTTTCCGATGAAAATTCCGTTAAGCAGAGGCATTTGATTATTATTCAGTAAGGATCACCATTTACATAATTTTATCAACACCTCACGGTACTCACCAGCGGGCTGATTATTGGAACTGATGGACAAATTGATAGACAAAGAAGACAAACTGAAATTAAAGCGATCCTATTTTTGGAAGCGGGTGGTTGCGATGAACAAAGAGGGTAAGTAATACACTAAGTAACGGCAACCCACGAGAGACCCTACAGTTAGTTCATCATTTCCCCCCTCAGTCTGTAACAACCACCCGTTACAACCAATAAGATCGCTCCATACTCCCTGTGTCTTTTTGTTCATCGCTTTGTCTATCAATTCCAATAATCAGCCCGCTGGTTTTGCATTTGCCTTGTTCATTTAAGACCAATAATTTTCATAACAAGAATTAAGACTTTGCCTCGACCGGAAAAACATTTTTAACGTAAAACTGTGAGTTTTAATCTCAGATATGATACACTGAATCTAGAACTAATTTTTTTAGTCGTAGAGCATGCAACGTTGATGGAGCTACTGTCCTAGGCCGCGAACAAGATGATCCGCGCAGATTTTACGCACACATCCATCAACAATTTTACGTGAATTACGTAAGGAGTTACGCTTGACAAACGGTCGTCACGAATTTTCCCCGTTTCATTTATGCACCCGTCTTTTGTTTACTGTCACGACCGGCTGCATACTTATGCAGTGATATAAAAAGTGTTGCCTGCTCACCTGTAATCCTCGAAAAACTACACAGAGATCGTCATAAAACCGACGGAATTTCGAGCGAACAGTGACACCGCGTGATCTATCGGGCGAATGTTCTTGTCGACCTTATCTAAATTTCGCGTGTTTCGTGTCAAAGTTTTCGAAATGCCCCCAAAAATGCGCTGTTCGGCGTTTGGCACGTTTTAATCTAGGCACTTTCTTCAAAAGGGCAATACAATTAGAGAGGCAAGTGCGCTTTGACCGAATTGCGTACGGTGTTTCTTTTTACCACCGTATGTCTTTTCGTGACCTTACATTGCCACGCTGCAAATGAAACGTAAAAAAATGGGTCGGTTCTATCGGAGAGGGTTAACGTCTGCCTGTAGAGGTTTGCTTTTTGCTATATATTATTTACTAGTCTTCATTAATCATTTTGTATCAAATTTTTACGGTAAAAGTACTTTCAATGAAACTTCATCAGATGACAGAACATGATGTGTTGGTTTTTGAAACAGTTCCTTGAATTTACACCACACCGGGGTGGGAAGTGGTTGAATTACCACACGATGTATCACTTTGATTTGAGTAAAAAATTTGGAAATTAATTTATTCTGAGATACAAGAGGTGATCGACTATTGTCACAAGGTACAGGAAATCTTCGACCAAAAATGATTATAAACACGGTAAAGACCGAGTCTGTAAGAGAAATATAGCCACATTTTGTGGATACATCGAGCAGGTTATCGAATGACGTGTTCCCCGGTTTAAGGTACTATATTCTTGTTTTTCAAAAATTTCCATGAAACTCTCAGTCCAAAATTATGCTCGTCGTCTTTCTCAAAATAATGTAAATGGACTACATTTTGCGATGAGGAACTACTATCACTGTCATATTCATAGAGACAAATATTTGTATGGGAGAACTTGTTGCAATTACGTCGTTTCTATAATAAGCCGCAAATAGTAGTTCCTTATTGGAGAATGCACTCCAATTTTTCATCGACTTAGTAGAAAAATCCATCGAAACAATCAACAGCTAAATTTTGTCTCCTCTTTATACTTTTCCAATATTCCTGCTCGAGAGCACAGAAAAAATTAAATTGCTGATTTAACAATTCAATTGCTAAAAAAAAGTGACAGCAGTATTTCACCGTAGATTTTACAACAAGAAAATGCTACTTTAACCATGTGGTTAGATCAGCTTACAATAGTGGTTAAAGTAGCATTTTTTTTGTTGTAAAATCTACGTTGAAGTTGAAATACAGCAGTGACTTTTTTTGGCAATTGAATTGTTAAATCAACAATTTAATTTTTCCGTGAGGTATGGAAGGCGATCTCTCATCAACCTCCATTATATTATAACTCGTTACATAAAATATTACTTGACTTACCCCATATGGGTCTTCGCCGTTATTTCCATAGCCGCCACCTTGTCCACCGTAGCCTCCCTGTCCACCTTGGCCGTAGCCTCCTTGTCCTCCTTGGCCACCCTGGCCGTACCCACCCTGAGATCCTTGACTGTACCCACCCTGGCCTCCTTGGCCGTAACTTCCTTGCGAAGCACCCCCGTATCCCCCTTGGCCACCTTGTGCGTAAGCGCCTTGGCCACTTTGCCCGTAGCCTCCGCTTTGTGCGTAGCCACCGGAACTACCGCCGAACCCTGGACGTCTCCCTGAAAATAAAATACAAATCCAAAGATCACACATACTGTAATATTAATTCTCATTAGCTAGATATTAACCCTTTATTGCGTAGCGTTGCATGAAAGCAACAAATGGTTTTCAGCTTCATCTCTATGCTGGAGTGTTAAATTGAATCAAAGCAAGAAATAATTTTTGGTAAACATTACATGTCTGATCTCCTTGCTTAGAAAAAACCATAAAAATCGATTCCAACCGACTCTAGTGTCAAAAAAAATACTGTACAACGTAGATTCTCTCTCCAAAATCAACGATTAGCTCATGCAACAAAGGGTTAATTTAAATTGACACGAAAACGGTAAAAGCAGCTCAATGGGGCTTCCGAAAGCAACAGCAAACTTAATCAATCTACACAGATGGCCCGTATTACTGCCATCTTACGTAAGAAAGCCGAAAACGCATTAAATGTATAAACCTCGAGACGTTAAACATTTTTCTTTTTTGATAAAATACAAATCTCAAGGAGTCTTGTGGTCGTTTATCTTTCAAATCTTCAGATAATCTAATTTGTTATTGAATCCAAAGTATCTGAAAATTTCAGGAAACAAATTTCACCAATTTTCCAAAAAATGAAAGTTTTATGAAATTTTTTTGGCAACATCCGGATGTTCATATACGGCGTTTTTCCATAACACATCAGTGTGAGTCACGGTTAGCGCATATTTTCAGGTGTCTTGAGGCTCATCCTAGAATGCACTTACTGATCCTCACCCATTGTTGTCAGATAGTGCTGAAAAATCAGCACATTTTCTATTTAAACCCATGTGAAATATCTACATTTTACCATACAATCTGGAAATCTTGTCTCCTTAACACGGCAGTACTGCCAAGGAAGAACGCCGTATGAACGCTCGAGAGTTGCCAAATTTCCCCGGATAAATATGTATTTTTGAGTAGTTTTATGGATATTTTCCCTTGAAATATTTAGACAATTTAGTTTAAATTGCGTTCAAAATTGTCAGAAAATTTGGAGGAAAAATATTCACACATTTTCCAAAAAAATTGTATTTTCATTAAAGAGGATTGGCAACGTCTGAGGGTTCATACGGCGTTTTCCTTAGCGTGACAAAGCTGGTGATTATCAATACGGTGACGTTTTCATCCTAAATGTTGTTTCCTCCCTAAGTTTCTTCTTTGTAATTGTGCTAAATTCTACAATAACATTTACCTGCGTAAGCACCAGAAGCACCACCTCCGTAGCCCCTGTTTCCACCGGAGGCGCCACCGTAACCTCCGCCTACTCGGCCAGGGGATCCGTAGCCGGAGCTGCTAGAGCTGAAGCTTTTTCCGCCTCCGTACTGTCCGCCTCCTCCTCCGCCGCCGTAGGCGGAACTACCGCCAAACCTCTGCCCGTAGCCGCCGGAAGATCCGCCATAACCGCCTCGAGATCCACCTCGACCCGCTGGCAAGTACCCTGACACTGGAGGCTCAGCGGTGATAGCCACTGTCATGTATAGCAACACGACTAATATCTAGAGCAAGAAACAAACATTTTCATCAAATTTTGCATTGGTCATAAAGAGCTGTTAAAAAAAAATTGAGCATTAATTGGATTGCGTTAAGCAGAAAGGAACCAAGGCACATCAGCTATTGCCAAATTTAACTGGGCAATTTAATTTTTTACATGAAAACGGTTGTGCAGATTTTTGTGCAAATTTCAGTGAATTTTCTGCATAGTACGAAGCAAATTATTGCACATTTTCAAAGGAATCCGTACAAACTTTCTCTTGTAAAAAATTAAAGTCCCCAATTAAATTTGACAATATCTAATGTAGCTTGGTTCCTTTCTGCTAAACGCGGTCTAAGTCTAGGTGTATTTTTAGGTCTGATTTCAGAAATGACCTCCGATATCTTCTGGATTGGTTTAATTGTAAAGAGGGCGAAGAGGTCGTTTACTGAGAGGGTGGGGATTGGTGTATTAAATCAGAAATTCTGAAGTGCTCGATTCCCGAAGGACTGGGGTTTGGTAGAGGATGGTGGCGGTTAGGTGCAGCAGAACGCCGAGGAATGCTTCAAAGCGATATGTTTGTACAAGCAAGAAAAAAAAATATTTTTACATTTTTATAATTTACAAGGAAAAATTATTATCAAACTGTTGATTTTCAACGATTTTTGAGACTGCGGGATAGAAAGTGAAGATATGTAAATCATTATTGTAAGATATCTTCGAATATCTGATTACTCGTTTCCTAACTCGTAAATTTAGAAAGTTTTTTCAAAAATGATGTGGACTAATCTGATAGTAAAAGACTTATTAGAGGGCTTTGCAGAACTTTAACAAGTCTATCTTAGTGGAAAAAATTCACGAGGAGTATTTTTGTTGTAAATTTTACAGTAAACTAATACATAAGCTATCTGAGCAAACAGGAGAAATCGAACAAAATTTTCCGGACTGTCAGAGGGCTGAAGAGGGCTTCACTTAGAACTGGTATAGCGGGTGAAAAAAGCAGCATAATGTTTTAGTGTCATCGTCCAACGACACTTGAATATTTGAAATGGTAGTTTATTCACTCTACATTATAGGTCTTCATGTTCCTGACCATGAACTTAAAGAGTCATTACTGTCGCGAACAATGGAAAATGAAGGAAGGTGCAGAATCGAATTAATGTCTGTTAAACAACCGTTGAGAGAAGGATATTATTAGGAATACATGACCTTGTCATACAGGGGCTTGAGATGTTTTTCCACATGAGTTGCATGAATGGAAGAACTCCCTTTTCGTTTAATAGATAATCTGCTCTTCGTTACACCAGGTTATCTGAAGTGGTATTCAACAGTTTCTTACTTAGAGACTTAAAACTGAAGGCTTTATTTTCAAGCTTATACTTAGAGACCCGACTTTGACGTATAATGCCATGGTGAAAGAGAGATACAGGAGGCAATAATAAGCTTTCGCCGGTTTGAATTTTGATTTCTTTCAAGTTCTTCTGAAAATCTTATACATATTTTTTTAGGAATATATTGTTCAGCTTCTAAGCGTTTTTATTCTTAAAATGTCAGAAATGCCTATTCCTTATCGAATATGATAGAACATAATGCTGTTTCCTTCAAAGTATGCATGTTTTTATTTACAAGCCTAAATTTATATATTTAGAGGACGGGGTGGACAGTGGCGTGGCGTGCTTTGCGATATATCGATTGTTAGGTGAGGTGTATGCCATTTAAACCTATGGAAAAAATCGATAAACAGGGTGTTCGCAGCGAACACCTTAATAATCGATTCTTTACCATAGGTTTAAATGACAGAACAATCGATATATCGCAATTCACGCCTCGCCACTGGGGGTGGATATTAATGCATAGGGAGAAATTTTAAAGGTAGACACGCTTCTCCCCTCGGATAAAAGTATTTTATTTATTCTGCGGTCATAAAGCGTGTTCATAATAGTTCAGCTCAAAAACTGGAAAATCAATCTCCAAGGCTCCGAAGAAATGGTGTTTTTAGAAAATCTTTAAAATCGTCGTTACATTCAACCCTTATTTTTTGCTTTCCCGAAAATTTCTCTGTACCTCAGCATAATTTGTTTTTGCTCATCTCATTGCGGGTTTTGCTGTAACTGAAACGTCTCGTAAAAATTGACCAGAAAAGATAAAGAAGCTTCCAATATAAAATGCTGGCGGTCTGCCAGAACACGAAATAATCATTTTTCAGCTGGTTCAGCGCAAACAGGTTTAGTTCGTGAACCACAAGGGCCCATGTAATCGTCACTTGTTACGGTTGACTTTATTTATTGAAAATTTTCTGCATGAATTAATAAAGATGCTCGTCACAATATTAACAAATTGAACATTCTGTTAAACACAAAATCAAATTAAAGTACAGCTCGCCTTCATAGTTTGTATTGATTTATAATCTTAAGGAATTACTGTGTTTTTCTGACGATCTCGACGTCGCATGACTCTCTGCTCTTAAAATTACTACACTTAACTTATTTCAAGATGTATCGCACGATTAGGGTAGAGTTCGCTATTTTTCGGTATTGCCGGGGGAGGGAGGGTGGCGAAGATACAGAACTTTGAACATCAATCATGTACTTTTATACAATGGAACTTCAAGATGAGCCAGATTCACAATGTAATAACTTTCGAAAGTAAAATTTACCGCGTAGAAACTGTTTTAATAATATTATTTTTTTTTCTAAAATACTACTTTTCTTTAAATTTTTGGCAGAAAATGGATCTTTTACCCGAAGCAGCAGATTTTAGTTGTTTAAATCAAAGGAAGGGTACCGAAAAGGACATTTTTTGAGCCCACCCTGAATTTTCTCAACTCTACACGTTTTTTCTCAGTGAAAGTCTATTTTGAGGAGTGCATTGTGATTTGGTTATTTCTAAAGGTAGATTTTAGCAGAAAATGCGGGTTTTACAGGTATGCAGCCAAACGCCAAAATATTTGCACTTTTCAACAAAATCGATCTTCAGACCCATGTTTAGACCTATCCTAAGGCAGAAAAGAGACCGAAAATGACCATATCATGATGCATTCCGCAAAAAATAGACCTTCAAAACACAAATAATTGTGGAGTTTAGGAAATTTAGCTAAGGTGGGCCAAAAAACAGCCCGTATCGATATCCCTCTTTTGCGATCGTACCCAGAATTTATTGAACCTTATGGTGCTGTAAGATCCACCTTGAAAGAAGGTGTGCACTTCAACCATCCACTCCAAAACCCCACGATGACCACATTGAGAAAAATACTGGTGTTTTCGTGTCCTTTTTGGCTAATACAGGTAGTAGAATCAGATCAACCCAAATTTTATGTTAATTTATGCACAAGTTGCGTACAATTTAGCACAGAAAATAATGGAAAAACAGGAAGACCCAGACCCCACAATCAATCGAAAGTTTGGGCTTCTTGGTGTTCCAAACAATTGGGATAGTACCACAATTTTAGGGATAATCCCCAACACTTTTTTTTCGTAGAGCTTCTTGAACCGCGTTAAGCAGAAAAAAGCCAAGACATATCAGCTACGGCAAAATTAAATTGGGCACTTCAATTTCTACATGAAAACTGTTGTGGAGATTTTTATGCAAATTCCTTAGAATTCCCAAAGGAATCCGCAGAAACGTTCTCATGTAAAACATTAAATTGCCCAAATAAATTTGGCGATAGCTGATGTGGCTTGGTTCATTCCCGTTAAACGCGGTCCATTTAAGGATCGACCCTTCCTGAACTCCAGTGTTCGTTATTAGCTTAGTACCCCTTTCATTACCCGCTGCCTCTTGCTCTCGTATACACACCTCATAATATAAAACCTACTTCGTTTCACTCATAATTAACCCTACGTCACTTCGACATGTCTATAGTTGGCTGTAGGCCCCACAGGGATTAAAGCCAGTATACCAACAGTATATATATATATATATATATATATATATATAATAAAAAATAAAAAAAACTCCAGTGTTATTTTTTCTTGCACTGGAAAAAAACACATTGGATCTAGAGTCCGGACTCTTGAAAACATTGACAAGAAGAAATACTCTTGCTTTAATCAGAATTTTGCTTAAATTAAAAGGAAATGCGCTCAAATTAAGAGGCTTGGCTCTTGATTTAAGCAAAAATCCGATTGAATCAAAAGTATTTTTTCTTTTCGATGTTTTTAAGAGTCTGGGCTCTAGATCCAATGTGGTTTTTTTCCCAGTGTGGGGTGTAAAAAGTGAAAGAGGATACGTGGTTTTGCACTTCGGCAATCGATATAGGGTCTCCGAGGAAAAAAGCTCTCTACGAAACGACCCTTCCTGAACTTCAGTGTTATTTTTTCTTGGGGTGTAAAAAGCGAAAGAGGATACGTGGTTTTGCACTTCGGCAATCGATATAGGGTCTCCGAGGAAAACAGCTCTCTACGGAACGACCCTTCCTGAACTTCAGTGTTATTTTTTCTTGGGGTGTAAAAAGCGAAAGGGGATACGTGGTTTTGCACTTCGGCAATCGATATAGGGTCTCCGAGGAAAACAGCTCTCTACGGAACGACCCTTCCTGAACTTCAGTGTTATTTTTTCTTGGGGTGCAAAAAGCGAAAGAGGGTACGTGGTTTTGCATTTCGGCAATCGATACAGGGTCTTCAAGGAAAAAAACTCTATACGGGACGACCCTTCCTGAACTTCAGTGCTATTTTTTCTTGGGGTGTAAAAAGCGAAAGAGGATACGTGGTTTTGCACTTCGGCAATCGATATAGGGTCTCAAAGGAAAAAAGCTCTCTACGGAACGACCCTTCCTGAACTTCGGTGTTATTTTTTCTTGGGGTGTTAAAAGCGAAAGGGGTTGAAATTGGTGAGTGAGGAGCTCGGGACTTACCTTGGGAAGCATGATGCCGCGATGATGGAATGCGTCGGTGTCCGGGGTGGCGCGTCTTTTATAGCAAGTGTTGTTCCACTCGGGGCAGAGGCGCCGGGCCCGTTGCGTCACTCCATCAAATCCCAGCATCATTCATATCGCCCGGGATGAATGGTGACGTAAATCTGGGCTAATGCGCCGCGCACCCGGCCCGCGCCTCCGCCTAACCCAATGCACTTGCGAGCCCATTCACCAAAGCCGCCAAGGTTCCCCTCCGTCCCTCGCGCATCCTCAAAGGTGGTGGTTTTCGGATCCGGTGGGCGTACGATGAAAAAATTGAATTTCCGATGAGACCGCCGCGAACGCCTTTTTGCGGATTTTGTGCATTTTCGAAACGCTGCTGCCGAGTTTACTACAAATTTGACCGCGTTAACAGAAAAGAGGCAAGCAACATCAGCCATTGCTAAATTTAATGGGGCAATATCTAATTTTTTACGAGAGAACGTTTCTGCGGACGCCCTTGAAAATTTTGAGGAATTTGCCTCGTGCTATGCAGAAAATTCACTGAAATGTACACAAAAATCCGGAAAACCGTTTACATGTGAAAAATTGAACTACCCAATTGAATTTGGCAATAGCTGATGTGGCTTGGTTCCTTTCTGCTTGACGCGGTCCAGTTATGGTTATATTTTCTTTCCGAGTCATGACGCGATTGATGGCCTTTTCGGTGAAGAGACTTACACAAAGGGCTTTGAAGGAGCTCGAAAAAGTGCAGTTTTTGCTTTTTCGAATAATGCGTGTTTGAAGTTTCGCATTTACATGGATCCTTGTGGCAGGAAGCAAGTACAAACTGACTTTTTCATGCCTTAGAATTGGAGTTTGGGAGCGAATTTATCACAGAGTATGTATTAAGATTAGTTGTACATGAACTAATCAATAACTCGATTTTTCGAAAACTGTACTTATCCGCCTTGTTCTCCAAGTACCTCATATGAGGCTTTTAGTGGTGATGAGCTTGTGTATTTTTTCATAGTTTTTGCGGCATACGAAGTTCATCCAGTCGACTTATTTCCACCTCAAGTTTTGCCGCCCTATCCTTAACAAATAAAATACGGCAATCGGCTTTTTAATCTCAGCCAGATCGGTACCTAATCTATAATATGACCATTAACTATGCGCCTTAGGAATAACGTTCCTCATATTTCTCATCAACTAGAAAAAAAATTGAGCAGATCCAGAACGTAGATAGATACAAGAACGTAGATAGATACAAGAAACACTTGTAGTAGTTACGATATATTTAAATAAAATTTCTTTTAAAAAAAAAATAAAAAAACAAGCAGTGAACTCCAACACAATGTGTTGATAAGGCGCGTCATTAACTCGCACATATCAACCCCTTTAGTTTTCATTTACAGAGATTTCAAAATAGGCAAACAGCATAAAAAGAGAATTCACGATCCAACACTGCGAGGTCAAAGACGCACCTTGACGAGACCGTGTATTGTGAAAGTAGAAAGCTATTCGATCGAATTTAAGTTTTTTGATCTGCCTCAAGCAAAATCTTATCAGATTCTTGAAGAAAAGTGCTACGGAATAATTTAAGCGAAGAAAGGAAAAATTCTGTCGAACTCCTAGGAGATAAAGTCGATTTAAAGGTATTTTGGGGCTAAAATACCCAAATCACCGGTAGTAAAAATCCCGTTATATTATTGAAAAGAAATTGACTCGATATAAATGCAATTGCATTAAATACGTCTTGATTTTGTTATTTTAAACGTCTTTCCATGCAAAGAAGTTCAACCATGTCGTTGCTTTATTCATTCATGAATTGAAAGTAAGCAATCTACATCCCGAAA